TTGCCCACAGCTGTCAGAAGCTTCGAGGCTTTCTGCCAGACAGCAGATTGACAGCTAGAGTGGGCAGGGGGAGGGCCGGCTCCACCCCCTCCCCCCTCGACTCTTCAGGGACAGAGGGATGGGTGTGGGCCCGGGAACTGTGCGGTGCCAGGGGGGTGGCCAGTCTCCGCTCTCCCCCTGAGGCCCCGACGTGGCTGCAGCCCTCTGCCCTCGCTCCCCTGCCTTCCCTGGGCTTCTACCTCGGTGCCCATCTTTCTCCGGAGAGTGATTTTTCATTGAAACATGATCTGCCTTCAGAGCAGGTGGTGTCTAACAGACGCCACCACCCCCCCCACCCTGGTGACAAGCACCAGGCCAGGCACAGCCTCCCGCGTGTCCCCGTGTGACTGCAAGTCTTCAAAGCTTCAGGCCCTTACTCTTCCCCTAGTGGGTCCTGGAGGAGTCTGGCCACCGGCTGGGGGGATGGCCTGGGACCCCGGAGGAGAGTGGTGCGGGAGGAACCGCATTTCATCCGCCCACCCACCCACCCACCTATCCAGCCGTTGATGCCCTCAGTGCATCTTTCTTGAGCGACCCTTGTGCTCCAGGCCCTGGCAAGGTGCTAGGCAGGAAACCGGAGTAACGTGGATGTGATCCCCGTACTTGTGGAGCTCACGGCCCGGTGGGTGACAGGCGTTAATCCAATAATCACGCAACGACTATCAAAGCTGCACATTCCCAGTGGCAGAGTGCCGGCTGGGTGTGGGGCACGGGTCACGTAGGTGACAGCAATGGCGTGGGTGCCTTGGCCTGGAGCAAGTAGGCAGGGCACTGGTTCAGGCAGGAGGGCTGATGGGGGGGGTAGGGGCCCCCGAAAGAAGTGACTGCCTGTCCTGCTTCCCTGGTGGCTTCAGAACAGAGGCGGTCAGTCATCTGCACTCAGGGGCACTAAGGACTGGCCTGCCTTGGGGGCAGTGTGTCCACCTGTGTGGGCTCCCTTCCCACACGTTCCCTGTCCCAGGGGCTGCGTGGCCCAGCCCTGGGTCGTACTGCCTCACTGCCCTCCGGGGCCCCAGGATGCAGGCTATGTCTGGGGCCAGTGGCTCCCACATGATCCTGTCTTTCCTGTAGCCCCGGCCTCTGTCCGTAGGGTCCCCCGTTATAGAGGAGGCCCCTCTACAGGGAGGCTGCTTGCCTGGATGGCAGGCTGGCCTCTGAATCCAAGATTTCCACATCTACATCTTGCATGGTCCGCTCTGCCTGTTTCCTGACCGGCCCCAAGAACAGCTGGAGGAGGCTAGCGTGGTGAGGAGATTTTTGCAGAAGTGGGGAGAGATGGGGAAAAAAAAAAAGCATTTGGGACCAGTCTTTTAGGATGTTGCCCTGGGGTGCCTATGAATAGCCTGAGAGCCATTTGGGCTGCGGAGCAAAGAGGAGGGGGCGGTGTGCAGAGCAGGGGAGTAGTTCTTAGAGGGGCTCTAGTAGGTGCAGATCAGTCTGGTCATCCGTGTGCCTGAGTGTCCTCTCCTGCCCATCAGATGCCCTGACTCTGGTTCTGGGGAGTCTAGAAGGCAGGAAGCCCGCAGGGAGGGCAGAGCATCTCTGGAAGGGATGGCTTCCACCCTGGCTTTGTGGGGCTACGAGGTACAGGGAGAGGAGAGAAGGTACCTGGTAAGAACAGCTCCCCATCCCAGCTCTGCCACTTGACAAATGAGGCAGGGCAGGTGCTGTTGGGTAGAGCCCTCACTGGGGTGGGGTGGGGGGGCCCAGAGGCCTTTTACTCCTGGCTGGAAGAAGGACCACCCAGCTTGCTTGTGGCTTTCTCCCACCCCTGCCCCTGGCTTCCTCCTGAGACCTGGGGACCTCAAGAGGCCAGAGAGAGGGAGGCAGCCTCCCTGGTGCCTCGGGGGCAGTGGGAGTCAGGTGCTGCAGCTGAGGTGAAGGATGGGGGTCAGGCAAGGGGAGGGAGGAGGTCCCCTTGGGGCCTGTGGAGGGGCAGGGGACTTCACAGGAACAGAGCTGCGGCTGGCACACCTGGGTTTCCTGAGCAGCCCAACAGCAAACTCTGTCCTCTTGGCCTCAGGAGAGCAGAGTCCTCCCCAGCAGAGGACCCCTTGTGCCCCCTGCACACAGCTGAAGGGTGTTCACTCTGATTTGATCTTCCCTCTGCTCGGAAAGTGACAGCAGCTCCTTGCTGCCCCTTCCATTGCATCCAAGGTCCAAGTTCTGGAACCAGGGCTGGCATCAGGGCCCCCACCCCACCTGCGCTTGGGCTGCCTGTACCCCCAGCCTCTGGTGCCCCTGGCTCCTTCTGCCTAGCCCAGGCACTACCCCTTCTCTGCTGCGTCCCTATCCTCCTTCCACACACACACCTTCTGGAAAGCTCTTCCTGACTGACCCATCAGCCTGGTAACTGACCGAATGAGGGGCAGGGGCAGGAAGTTTAGGGACTGCGTGGTCTCCTAGGCACATGTGGCTACTTAAGTTGATTGAAATCAGACCTTTGGTCCCTTGGCTGCGCGGCCACCTGTCAGGCACTCAGCAGCATGTGGGGCCGGTGGCCATCCTAGGAATGGCTGCAGAGAAGGTCTCCACCTTCCCGGGATGCCCTGTTGGACAGCCCTGGTCTAGAATGACTCTCGGGTGAGGAGTTCAGGTGACTTCAACTAAAATGAGGGTGAGAGGATGATGAACAGATTCGTGGAGGGGGAGGGAATAGGACACTGAATGGAAGGGGTCTGTAAGACCTCCAGGTAGAGATGCCCAGTAGGAAACAAAGGAGTTCCTATCCTCGACCACCCCCCAAAAAAAATCCCCTAAACAGGGTTTGGAATTCAAGTGGAGACCATCTCCTTGGGAATTTCAAGGGCCTCACCCAAATCCAACTCTGAACATCCCTCGGAAATCTCTAGAAGGCAGCTGTGTCACAAGGGGATGCTGTGTGTCTGTGTCTGCCTTGCGTTGGCTTGAAAAGGGAGAAGGTGCTGGCAGACAATGCAAGGGCTGTTGGCCAGAGATGGCCTGAAACCGTTACTTCTATTAACTTTTGGAGGAAGAGGGTAGAGAAAGCAGTTGTCTGGGAATCTCAGTCTGACCCCTGGGACCATCAAGTTGGTAAGTTGAAATGATTCCCAGGGATAGTCCTGACCCCATGTCTGTGGGATCCCTGCCCCTTATAGGGCAACAGGTGCAAAAGCATCTTTTATTTTTTCTAATTCCTTTCTGCAAGGTCTTCCCTCAAATTCTTTCCAAGAGGATAGGCCAGACACTATGTGCCGCCCTCCTGGCCATTCCCATGGATTGAGCTCATTTGGCTTTGAACATGTAGCCCCACAACCCTTCTCTGGCGCATGCAGAAGAATCCCCCCTGACATGGACCTCAATGGGCGAAGGCCAAACACGGCACGGAGCCCTCCCTGCTCCCCCCTTCCTGCTCTAGCATGTTCTGGGAAAGACACAACTCCCAGGGGTATTTTCAACTACCAATTTTGCCTAAGGCCCAGTCTCAGGAAGAACAAGGAGAACAGACCAGGAAGCTAGCAGGGAGTAGGAGGACAGAACAGTCTGCCGAGTGCTGCCTGCGGTAGTCCCCAGGAGCCCCCACTCATCCAGCCCCCAGGAGCCCCCATTCATCCAGCCCCCAGGAGCCCCCCACTCATCTAATTCCCAGGAACCCCCACTCATCCAGCCCCCAGGAGCCCCCATTCATCCAGCCCCCAGGAGCCCCCCACTCATCTAATTCCCAGGAACCCCCACTCATCCAGTCCCCAGGAGCCCCCCACTCATCTAATTCCCAGGAGCCCCCACTCATCCAACCCCCAGGAGCCCCCACTCATCCAACCCCCAGGAGCCCCCTACTCATCTAACTACCAAGAGCCCCCACTCATCCAGCCCCCAGGAGCATCCACTCATCCAACCCCTAGGAGCACCCACTCATCTAACTCCCAGGAGCCCCCACTCATCCAGGCCCCAGGAGCCCCCACTCAATTAACCCCCAGGAGCCCCCACTCATCTAACTCCCAAGAGCCCCCACTCATCCACCCCCGAGGAGCACCCACTCATCCAGCCCCCAGGGGCTCCCACTCATCCAACCTAGAGAGGAAAAGCCTGTCACCCGGGGGCTAAGGAGGGACATAGGGAGAGACTATGAGGCACCCCCTGGTGGTTGTTCTCAGGCCTGGCTGCTCTCCGGCCTAACCAGGGCAATCCTGGTTTAACTGGTCAAGGGTAGGGTCAGTGTCTAAAAAGCCCTTCTCCCCCCACAGCTCACCCAGGAGGCTCTGATGGGCAGGCTTCGTGTACAGCCTCAGTGCTGGGGCACATCCCAGCTCAGGGCTACCCCCAGGGCTCTCCGTGGTGGCCACAGGCTGTGGTGTGACGGGTGAAACGCCCAGGGCCCAGGAGGTGGGCGCCACAGCCCAGTGACCACAGGATGGGAGCCACCAGACTGCAGCGTGCGCGTGGGGTTAGAGGTTCCCTCTGCTCTGCCTCGCCCAGTGCTGACAGGGGTCCCGCACCCAGACGTGGGCCTGCCAAGTGGCTGGGGGTCGAGCTGGCCGCTAGTTGGGGCAGAGATTCCTTTCCTCTGACTATTACAGAGTCATAAATATGATTACGGCTGGAGGGACCTCCCCAGCAGTGTGCAGAGGCGGAGAGGGGCAGGATGGGACTTTAGGGCACTCATGAGGCCCCACTCAAACCCCCGCCCCCTTCCCCTCTGAGGTGGGCCATTCCTGGCAGAGCCTGGGCCCCGTCCCACGAGGTTAGTGTGAGCAGCCCCAGCCCTACCCCAACCTGCCCCACAACCTGTAGGACAGGACAGGCCAGCAGACGGGTGGCCAGGGTGTGGGCCCAGGAGAGAGCTCTGAGCTGCTCTGAGCTGCCCTGCAAGCTCCACACTGAGCCCCAATGAGCCAGCCCTCAGCATCACATCCTGGTCTGACTCCTTACCCCTGGCCCCGGCCTCCTCCTGCTGGACAAACTCACACACACACCACATCCCATACTAACACGACTGGCCCTTCAGGTCAGCCCATCTCCAAAGGGGAGACTCGGGTCCACAGTTTTATTGACATCAGGGTTTGAAACTTGGCCATATAACTAGACACGGTGAAGGGGAGGCAGGGGAGGCCAGGGCCGGAGTGTCCACAGAGGATCATGCATGGGCACCTGGAGCACACCGGTCCTTCACCCCTGAAACCACATGGGAGAGCCAGGCGCTGGAGCCAGGCCCACTGGGACAGTGTGGTCCATGTGGCAACTGGGGACCAGACGGGGCTTCAAAGAGTGGGCGGAAATTTCCTCCCAACTTTTAGCTCCTGCCCCTTTTGAAAAGAAGCACGTGCCTGGCTGTCCTGTCTTGCTGGGGATCAGGGCCAGGTCACACAGGCAGCAGCTGGGAGGGAGCATTTCCCTTCTCTGTGCCTCCCTTCACCTTCAGGGAAGGCTCCCGGGATGCAAGGGTCCCTGTGAGCTCAGGGGCAGGGGGCAAGTACAGGGGAAGGGGCCTTGCCAGAACCCAGCTTCACCTCCACCAACCCCTCTTCCTCACCGGTGAGAAGGCCCCTGGTTGCTTAAACTTCGGTCTGGGCTGCAGGCTCAGTGCCACCCAGGGTGGCCAGTGGGGGCCCCTTGCCCTCCAGGAAGGCGATCATGTTCTGCTTCTGGTTCTGGAGGGCCAGCTGCAGGGGTGTGCAGCCCACCCCATCCCGGATGTCCAGCTGGGCACCGGCTTCCACCAGCACTTTGAGGATGGACACGTCGCCCTTGAGGGCAGCCAGGTGGGCCGGCGTCCAGCCCACTTTGTTACGGGCATGGACGTCTGCACGGTGCTCCAGGAGGTTGATGACACTCAGGAAGGCGCCCCTCTGGACAGCCAGATGGAGGGGGGTCCAGCCAGACTGCTCAGCGGCACTGGGGTCAGCTCCACACTGCAGCAGTGCTAACACCACCACCTCCTCCCTGTGGCGGGCAGCCAGGTGCAGGGGCGTCCACTTCATGCCTCCAGGAGCCCCCAGGTCTGCGTGGCTCTCAGCCAGCAGGTGGATGATCTCCAAGTGGCCCTTGTAGGCTGCTAGATGTAGGGGTGTCCAGCCCTGCTGGGTCGGCAGCTCGAGGCTGGCCCCATACCTGAGCAGCATCTTGCAGATAAGATACTTTCCCCTGGCAGCTGCCAGGTGCAGTGGGCTGTAGCCACTCTGGTCTAGGGCATCGGGAGCCGCCCCACTCTTCAACAGGTGTTGGATGGCCCTCACTTTGCCTCGCTCCACTGCCAGGTGCAGTGGTGTCCTCAGGTTTCTCTGCTGGGCATCCAGCTCAGCCCCCTGGCCTGTCAGCAGCTTGACCAGGCTGATGTGGCCAAAGTAGGCGGCCACGTGGAGGGGGGTCTTGCCCTCCGCCTCACGCACGTTGGGGTCAGCTTGGCGGGAGACCAAAAGACGTGCCACATTCTCGAAGTTGTTCTGCGCAGCCAGGTGGAGCGGGGTCCACCCCTCGTGCTCCTGGGCATCTACGTGGGCGCCGTGGTCCAGGAGCAGGCGGGCAGTACGGTCGTCTCCGTTCTGGGCCGCAAAGTGCAGCGGCGCCCAGCCCTCTTCATCTGCCAGGTTGGCGTCCGCCCCACGCTCCAGGAGCAGGGCGCAGAGGTCGGGCTGCTGGTCCTGGGTGGCGATGAGGAGGGGCGTGTAGCCGCAGGCTGTCCGGCAGTCCACGTGGACCCCGAGGGCCAGCAGCAGCCTCACCTGCTCCACGCTGCCCTGCACCACCAGGAGGTGGAGGGGAGTGACTTTGTTCTCGTAGATGCGCAGCCCCTCATCGCTTGGGACTGGGTCCCCAGTGTCCGAGAGCTGCAGGACCCGCTTCAGGTAGTCTCCCAAGTCTGCTGGGAGGAAGATGCAGGTTGAAAAAAGGACCTCTGAGCCGTCCAGAGGTCATCTCGTCCAGCCCCCTGCCTCCTGGAAGTGCCATCGGGGCCTAGAGACTGTGGGAGGGCGGGCAGCCTTTCCTGCTGTCACAGATCTCTGCACAGCCCCCCTTGTCCTAGAGAACAGACCCTGGCAGCCCTTCCTGTCAGGACGGGGCAGAAAGAGGCCTGTGAGTGAACCCTGGCCCCACCCTTAGCACCACTTGACTTTTGCCAATTCCCTGCATCCTTGAGCCTCCAGAGCCTGATCCATACGTGGGCCGCAAACAATGCCCACCTCATGTTACCGTTGTGAGGACAACCTGGGCAGGCAAGAGCTTTCAGGGGCGCGCTTGGCACAAAGTCAATGCCAGCAGAAAGTAGGCTCTATGGTGTGAACTCCTCCTGAAGCCACTAAGGCTTCCTTCCGCTCTATTATGATTAAAAGCAACAATTTCCAAAACAAACAAGCAGCAACAACAGAAATCCCTGCCCAGGCCAACAACCCCCCCCCCCGAGATTCTGATTTCATCAGTCCAGGTGGGCCAGGCACCCGGACAGCTTTCACCCCCCAGGTAATTCTAATGTGCAGCCAGGGTTGCAAGCCAAGGCTCCACCTCCGGGGCCAGGAAAGGAGTCGTCTGGCCTCCTGAGAACACAAACCTGACCCCTGAGGGCATGTGCATTTCTGGAACCTGGAGCCGGTGCCAGGAAAGGGACACACCAACTTCTGATTTGGGACAAGCTGGGCAGAGGGTCGGAGTGGGGAGGAGGGGCGGGGTGGGGGCGGGGGTAGGTGGGAAGGGTGTGGTTTGATTCCACTTTCCCCTGGGCTGTGAGTTCTGTGGTTCCAGCTGCGGCAGACTCACCACTGTCTGTTAGCTGTGGGCTGACCTCTTCAATGACCTGAGCAGGAGGGGATCAGAAGACAAGGGGGATTGACCAGCGGGCCGTTCTGCTCTGTACCCTCCCGCACTCCTGCCCTCTCTCCAGCACTCTCCAGCACCTGTCGGGACTCATGTCCCATGTGGGTGCTAGGAAGCCCCTCCCGGGTCATTCCTGCCAACAGCAGCATCTGCAGCAAAGTCCTGAGCAGGGGAGACCCTGCCGGAAAGAGGTGGTCCAGGGCCTCGACTTCCCCTTGGGCCACATGGAGTGCAGGGTGGCCGGCTCTGTGGTTGGGCCAGGAGCCCCCTGCCAGCCCACAGTTGGTTCCCATGTTAGGGACTATCACATCACCATGATGACACTGATGCTGTGGCATGAAAGCCCGCAGGCAGGCCTCTGATTAATCCCACATATACAAGCAATGGTGTGTCCTTCTCAAGGGCTCTGAGTCACAGCCACCACTGTGCAAATTAGGAGAAGCTGTCCCAGGTGGGCTGCCAGATGTGGCCCGCAGTGTGGGCTGGCTCTCAGCCCCCAGCTGCTGCCTTAGTTGGGGACCTTGTGAAGGACACGCCCATGCAGGCATCCCTGGGGATCCCCGGAGACCCCCCGAGCACCCCCCCAACACACACACACTCACCTCCCCTGGCCGGGGCAGAGACAGCTTGCAGGACACCTTCCTGGCCAGAGCCTCACTCTCTGGGTCTGCCACAGGACTCTGGAGCAGGGACAGTAGCATGTCTGTCTCAACAGTGATGTCTGCCCCATGAAGGAGAGACAGAAAAAGAAGCAACAGGCTGGCCACCAGTCCCTTCCCCATTTTAGATAATCCTAACATTCCCCATCTCCCCCCATCCCCCAAATCCATTCCTGTGCTCACATACACTGTACATACGCACCAGGAGGCAGGAAAGCTGGGTCCCTGCCGCAGCTCAGTGGGACCACAGTTAGCAGGTCACTGACCCTCAGAGGGTCATCTTTTTCCATCAATGAGGGGGCAGGACTAATGCTCACGATTACACATGTGTGCGTTTCCAAAGTCACTACAGAGGTGGGCACCTTCGAGGTCCATCCATGCCCGTGATCTCATGGTCTGGGAACATTTTACAAATGCTGCTGTGGCCCTGGAAGGACCCAAGCTAACGGGGAACTCAGAAGCAGGAGAGCCAGGCCCAGACCCACCCAGTACGGGTTTTCTATTCTACATCCCACGGGGTGCATGGTAACCCAGACAGACGGGGCCCACCACAGTCATCAGCTGCCCTCCTCTCGGCACTATGAGACAGGCTGTGCCCCAGTGCCCAGCGCAGAGCCCTCCAGAGGGGCCCAGGCTCCAGGCGCCTCCCTCCAGCCCTCTCTAACCTCAGCCTGGCTCCCAGGCCCTCCAGCCCCGCCCAGCTCCCCAGTCCCTTGGGCAGGTCAGACCCGAGGAGAACCTGAAAAGCAGGGCCTCTTCTTGGGGTCCTGATCCCAACAGCGCCTCATCAGGTTCACCATCTGCTGGGCCTCACCTGGCCACTCATCGGAGACAGGCTGCAGGGAGGGCCGCATACCTGCGGCCACTCGGACAACAATAGTCACCATGTTGAAGCCTGTGAGGGGAGGTCCAGGCTGTGTGCACGCCGGGAGGCTGAGCCAGAGGGGCTGGGCCAGGCTGTGGGGGGCTCCGAGGATCCCCACCGGGGTGCACACAGCAGGGGCAACATCAATGCATGGTGAATGAACAGCTAGGTTGCAGGTGTGAGTTGAGGGTCCAGTGTGAGCCGCTGGGTCTGTGGTCCAGCTGCAGCCACCTCCACGTGACCCCACACTGCAGCCCTGTGCTGCCCAAAGGCCTAGTTTCAGGCTTTGACTTTGGATTCTGTGAGCTCATCCAGATTTCCTGGCACACTAGGTACCTGGCATCTAGGTGGCAGGGGTGAGGGCAGGAGAGGCAGGAAAGAATACTTTGGAAGCAAAGGCATTAGAGGCAGAAGCATGGTCTGGGCTGACATGTGCTGTACTGTTAGGTGAGCTCCAGAAAGTAGGGCAGGGAGGAAGGGGGGAGGGGCATCCTTCCCGTGGCTCCCCAACCCAAAGCTGCCACTTCTCCTGCCCCCACAAGCCCCCAGCCTCGCACAGCACCCTCCAGGACACCACCCCATGCCGCCACCCCCGCCTGCTACCTGAATATGGTTTCTTCTGAGTGAGGAGCTCCCAGATGATGATCGCAAAGCTGCAAGACAGGACAGATGCCCCGAGTCACCTTCTCAGATACCCGAGGTCACCCGGGAGCCCCATGGACCGAACCCTCCCAGGCAAAGCCTCTCCAACCAGAGTGCCCCTCCAACCCTCCTCTTCCCTGTCGCCGTGTCCTTGGGACTGGGTGGGGGAGCAGAGGTCAGGCAGGGTGGTGATAACCAGCTCGCCCCCGGCCGCGGCAATGTGGCACAGAGTCCAGCCACCTCTCACCTGTACACATCGTACTTGCGCCCTGGGGGTTTGTTACTTTCCAAGAACATCTCAGGGGGGATGTAGCTGAGGGTGCCCCGCAGAGCTGACCTCTGGATGCACTGCATCCCGGTTGACTGTTCCATCCACTTGGACAGGCCGAAGTCTGAAATCTGGGAGGAAGTCGCAATAGTCTTGCCTCCAGAAACTGCCTTCACTCTCACCTTCCTGTAGCCTACCCCTTCCAGGAGGGTATAGTGGGTGACAGCCCGGCACCCCCCTGCCATCTCTGCCACATGCGACCTGGTTACTGATCTCCTCAGACCCTCAATGTCCTCATCTGCATACTGGAAATAATAGGAACTTTTAATTTGTGGTGCTTTTTTTTTTTTTTAAGATTTTATTTATTTATTTATTTATTTATTTATTTATTTATTTATTTATTTATGAATCACACAGAGAGAGGCAGAGACATAGGCAGAGGGAGAAGCAGGCTCCCCATGGGGAGCCCCATGGGGGACTCGATCCCAGACAAATGTCTATAGACTTTCAGTGGGGGTTAGCGATACAAGAAGGCAGTACCATGAGGATATATAGTGGGGCCTATCGGGGTAGACCAGGGAAAACCTCCCCAAGGGGGTAATGTTTAGCAGAAAGCTGAAAGATGAGCATGACTTGCTAAATAAAGAAGGGAGTAGGGGAGCACTGTTCCTGGCAGTAGGCACAGAATGTGCAAAGGTCCTGTGGCACATTTTTCAGAACTGAAGCCCGTCATAATCTTTCCTAGGAATCATCTCATTTACACACATTCTCACCCAAAGCAAACAAGGGGAGGGATAGGGAATACTTTACACGCAGTAGAAACAGAAGACTGAGGCCCAAAGAGGGTTATTGCAGACATCCTGACACCCAAACTCATGCACCGAACTCCACTGCTCATCGGTTTTTGTTGTTTTTTTTTATTCTTAAAGATTTTATTTATTTATTGATGAGAGACAGAGAGAGAGAGAGGCAGAGACACAGGCAGAGGGAGAAGCAGGCTCCATGCAGGGAGCCCGATGTGGGACTTGATCCCGGGACTCCAGGATCACGCCCTGGGCCAAAGGCAGGCGCTAAACCGCTGAGCCACACAGGCAGGCACTAAACCGTTGAGCCATCCCCCTCGTCGGTCTTTGTTTTAGGTGTGATTCTGCCTTCAGTATTTGTCTACGAAGGGAGCTACTTAAAACTCCCAGCAGGCCAGTCAGGAGGCTCACCTGCAGGAGACTCTGGAGTGGAAAGAGGGCAGGGAGCTCGACGGGGACCTTTACCTTGACATGCATGTTGTTGTCCAGGAGGATGTTGCTTGGCTTGAGGTCCAGGTGGAGCAGAGGTGGCTTAATGCTGTGGAGAAAGTTCATGGCCAGGCTGGTCTCGTGGATGATGCGGAACTTGAGCTGCCAGGAGAGGCTGTGCGTGGGCAGCATCTTCTCCAGGGAGCCGTTGGTCATGAACTCCATCACAATGCCCAGGGGCTGCCTGCACACCCCGTAGATGGACACGATGTGCTGAAATTTGATCTTCTCCATTTTGGCGGCTTCTTCAAGGAGGCAATCCACATCAGAACTGTGGAGACACGGGGGTCAGGGATGGAGGGAGATGGCCCGTTAATTCCAAAAGCCGCGGGTAGAGCAACAGGCAAGGCTGGAGCCAGGTGCTGGAGACCCAGAGAGGCCCCGGGGGGTGGGGGGGTGGGGGGGTGGGGAGCTTACAGGAGGAAGGAGAGTCCTAGCAGGAGGCCCCACAAGATGCAGAGTGGGGTCCCGACACGACAGGAAGGGGAGGAGCATGCAAGCCTAGGAGCGAGTCCATTCTACAGAGGCGACCACAGAAGGCCTCCTGTTTACTCTGCCACTTGTCCCCCGCCAGATCGCAGACCCCTGGAGGACCTACATCACGCCTCATGCTTCTGTTTTAAGATCCCATCTATTCCCATTTGGTGATGAAAGTAATACACATCCTTGTAGAAAATCAAGGGACTACAGAGAGCTCTGAAGAGGAAAATTAGACCATCAGTAATCCAACCTTCCAGAGTTGGCCTCTGTTAATATTTTAGTATATTCTTTTACATTTACATGTGCCAGGTATCTCTCTCCCTTCACTCCCCCCTCCCTCCCCTCTCCAGCCTCCCCCCTCCATCAGGCAGTATGGGCTGCTGTGTGGTCAGCTTTGCCAGCTACTGTGGCACCACGCTTCCTCACACTGCTCCTCTGCCCTGAAGCCAGGTCTGCAAGGCTGCGTGTTGGGGATGAACCGGATTATTCACCCCGGGTCCCCTACAGCAGCACATCCCCATGCAGAGCACAATGCGTCTTTGTCAAACCAAACAGAAGTCAAGACTTAAGGGAAGGCCTTAGGAAAGAAGCCTTTGCCAACTGGCTCTCTCCTTTCACTGTGTCTGCCCCCTGAAAGGTAGATATGCAAATCAAGTCGTTGAGACTGTTTGGGGATTGCGGGGATGAGGATTAGGGAGAAATGACATTTTTAAAAGCACAGCATTTGCAAAGCTGTGTGGGCTCTGCCTTGGTTGGAGGCTGCTGGGGGTGTGCGTGCAGGGCGGCCCTGGGAAGGCAGCCAGAGACGGCTGACCTCCAGAAAAACCCCATCTGCTCACCCTCACATCTGGACAGGGTGGCTTCCCGTCCCCCCACCCCCCAGCCTCCCCCTCTGGCCTCTGCACCGTTCCAGGGACCTCTCTTTCACCTCTGTGGTACTTCATCTGTCTCCTCTGGTCCTTTTGAGTTCCCAGGAACTGAGATTCCCTGTCTTGGAGTGGGGAAAAGCCAGGGATCTGCCCTGATTTCAAATAGCAGTTTTACCACTTATTCTCTGCATGACTCTGGCCAAGGAAGCTCTCTGGGCCTCAGTTTCTTAACTGTAAAATGGGAACGACAGCAGCTCGTATAATTGCCCTGGGGACACCCAGACTGTGCCCGATGCCCACCCCCACCAGCCCCCATCATCAGGTGTCTGGTCTCCATGCTTCTCCAACCAGCTGTTCCTAAGGTGTGCAAAGACCCCCGCAGTGCTACAGCCCGTGCAAACTTCCCAAGTCTTGGTTTACCAGCCAGGTCTTGCACTCTTTTTTTCTTGAAGTATTCACTTCCCTGGGCCAGGTGCCAGGATTCTCTAAGACCCCTCCCTCTCCTCCTGTCCTGTACTCAGCGCCCAGGCCCAGTCCCAGGCTGGCCCTTCCCGTCTCACTCTGCACTGTCTCTTACAACCTCAGTACCTGGTGAGGTCCTGCGCGAAGCGTGTCTGAAGCAGAGCTCCTGGTTCTCCCCTTGCCACCTGCCCCTCCCTCTCGGTGAATGGGGCCTCCATCCTCCCAGTCCTCAAAGATCCGAAGTGCTCCTTGGCTCCTCATCATCTCCTTCCTGAGACCAGTCCCTCAGCACATCCTGTCAGCTCTACCCTCAAAATAGAGCAACAATCTGACCACTTCTCACCACCTCTATCTACCCAGCGCCATCTCCACCCCAGCCTTCTAATTAGCCTCCCTGCTTCTCTCTTCCCCTCTGCCATCCATCCTCAACCTAGGGGCCAAAGTGATACTTGTAAAATGTCAGGCAAAGTATGTCACCACTCTCCTAAAGACCCTCTGCTGGCTTTCTTCTCATTCAGAGTAAAAGCCAAAGTTCTCACACTGGTCTACAAAGCTCCACATGATCTTTCCCCGGCATAGCTTGCTGGCCCTCCCCAACTCTGTTCCTGCCATAAGGGCCTCTTGCCGGTCCTCCACCATGTCAAGCATGTTCCCACATCGGGACCTTTGCACTTGCTGTTCCCTCTGCCTCTAAGAGAGCCACAAAGCTTGCTACTCCTTTGCTTCAAATTCTCTACTCAAATGGTGCTAATTAGTAAGGATTTCGGCCTATATTAAATAGCAACCCTACCCCAACTCTGGCAGTCCTTGTCCTTCCACTCCCATACACAAACAGCCCACAAATTAATATTTCCAGATCAAATGTTTTCTTGGAAGATCCAATTATTCAACTCTCTTGACATATTTTTTAAAAAGATTTTATTTCTTTATTTGAGAAAGAGAGAGAGAGGCAGAGATAGAGCATGAGCAGGGGGACAGGAGGCAGAGGGAGAACACTCCCCGCTGAGCAGGGAGCCTCCGAGTTGTGGAGGCTCAATTCAACTCTCTTTAGGTATCTTAACCAATAAAATGTCAGGTGGTTGCAAGTGCTATAGATAAAAATTATTTATCTATGTATAACTTACTTATTTTTCTATCTTCCATCCTTAGACTATAAACTCCACGAGGTCAGGACTTTGGCTTACTTACTACCTAGAGGGAACGCATGTCAGCCATGCCCTAGCTCCAGTTACCACCTACAGTAATACACTCACAAATTTTCACAATGGTTAACTCAGACCTTCACCTGAAACCTACTTGACAATTCTTTTTGGCTGTTTAAAGGGCACCTTAAACCCAACCAGTACAAAACTGAACTCACGAGTTTCTTCTCCAAACCTATGCCTCCTTTCACATTCTCTTTGTTAATTGTCAACAGCGTCATTCAACAGACACCAACGATGTGCTGGGCCCTGGGGACAGAGCAGTGAGCAGACACAGACTCGGCTCTCATGGAACAGACATCCTAGTGGAGCCTTTGTTCCTCTCGGCAAGCCAGACATCAGGTTAACCCTTTTTTTTCCTTAAGATTTTATTTATTTATTCATGAGAGACACAGAGGCAGAGACACAGGCAGAGGGAGAAGCAGGTTCCCTGCGCGGAGCCCCTTGTGGGACTCAATCCCAGGACTCCGGGATCACAACCTGAGCCAAAGGCAGATGCTCAACCCCTGAGCCACCCAAGGTGCCAACGTCAAGTTAAACTTGATACTCCTCTTCCTCACCGTGCCCCCCTCCCCCATAGACAACCCAGCATCAAGTCAAGCGATGTTTACCTCCTAAATGCTGCATAATCCATTCCTTTTCCTCTAGCATCCCATGCCAGGCTGGACTTCGATCACCTTTTGCCTGAACATGACAACCCCTTACTGGACCAGCACCCACTCTACCTTTCCAATCCCTCCTCCATCCAGCAAATTCGATCAATTCCTTTTCATCACACCCCCCCAATCTGGTTGCAAACCCTTTAGTGCCTTTCCGCTGCTCCCTCTCTCAACTCCAGCCACAACAGTTTTTCGCCACCCCCTCCCTTACTATGCCCCTTCTAACACAGGCCCTTTGCACTTCCTGCTACCTCTTCCTGGAAAACTTTCCATTCTTCAATGACTACGCTCACACTCATCCTTTACTCTCCCATTCAATCTCCTCAAGGAAGCCTTTCCTGATCCCAGTGAAACTCTATTAATAAGCTCTCACAGAACCATAAATCCTCTTGTTGCTCTTCTCACAGCAGTGCATTTACATCTACACATGGAGTTATCTGATAAGTGTCTCTGTCCCCCCAGGCTGGAAGCTCCAAGAGCAGGGCCATACCTGTTGCACTCATCAATATATCTCAGGGTCTAGCATAGTGCCTGCCACTTAGTTGAAGAACAATAAGCATTCATCAAGTGAAGGAATGAATGAGGACGTGCAAAGAGTATCTAGTGAATACACACAAAGCTCCTAGAGTAGTACTCCACACTCAGCAAGCATTAATTATCATTAAATCCCTTGACCCATTTCCCTCAGAGAGTTCCCAAAACTCAGGAAGGGAAAGTAGTTGTCAATGCCTAACAATGCAGTCTCACCAATGCCATTTGTTTCTTTTCGACCTTCATGTCAAAGTCTAAGCCATGTGGAACAAACCCTAGAAAAATCTGACTGCACTGCAAAGCCAGCATGAGGGTGTGGAAGGAGGAAGAGGGTCAAGTTGTGGGTTGTTTCACTTTGCTCACATCTTGAGGCAGGTGGGTGGCCCAGGAATTAGAGAGGAGGCTGTTTCTTTTATTTTTTTTATAAATTTATTTTTTATTGGAGTTCAATTTGCCAACATATAGAATAGCACCCAGTGCTCATCCCGTCAAGTGCCCCCCTCAGTGCCCGTCACCCATTCACCCCCACCCCCCACCCACCTCCCCTTCCACCACCCCTAGTTCATTTCCCAGAGCTAGGAGTCTCTCATTTTCTGTCTCCCTTTCTGATATTTCCCACTCATTTTTTCGAGGAGGCTGTTTCAAGTGTGTGGGACCTCAGGCTGTGTCTTGGGGTCTTGCATGGTGACCAAAGAGAACACAACATCTGTGTAAGATGCCACCAGGAGATGCCCCTTTGCCAGGCCTTCTAATTGATGGCCCAGAAGCTTTGGGAGGATGACACAATCCTCACACTCAGACTTCACATCCTAAGTGTCTCCTTTATGGATGTACTGGGGGGCCACTATGCAGCCACTTCAAGCGAACCCAGTGGGAAGGAGACTGGAGCTCCTCTCAATGGGAAAGCAGAGACAGGTGGAAGCTTTGAGAAAGAGGAAGCAAGGAGAAAAAGGAGGGCTTCCCAGGAGGGGCCACAGTGCACATGACGAGTGGGGAAGGAGCCAGAAATAAGCAAGGACAGAGACAGGCATTCCCAGCTTGACTTGCCAGCAGGCCCGGTGTGAGAGGCGAGCGGCCGTACAGGCTCTCAGGCCAGCAGGCTGGCAGTCTCCGTCCCGGGCCCTGCCCCAGGCCACACCCGCTGGGCAGGGGCCACAGCCAGGGCCGCGGGAAGGGAGAGCCAGTGTGCTTCTCGGCAGGTCCCTGAGCATCGCTGGGCCGAGGGCAAGCCCAGCCCTGCCTGCCCTGAGAACTGAGGGGTGGATCCAGGCCTGGCAGACGGCCACCAACAGCTGTCATCCCGCCCTGACACCCAGCAGGGAGGGAGGCCGACCAGTTTGGGAGGCCAGATGGAACAAAGGCGTCTTTGGAGGTCAGTCCCCGCTCCCCTCTGCCCTCTGCGGATTCCACAGATGGGAAGGGCCGTCAGGTAGGAAGACCAGCTGACCTGGCCACCTGGCAGCAGGCTGCTCAGGCCCCCCACGGAGTTTAGAGACCGAGGACAGGAGTCTCAGCCCCAAGCGCCCCCCCAGCTCCCCGCCCCACCAAGGGCCGGGGCAGCCGCAGGTACCTGGTGGCCTCCCGCTGGCTGCAGGGACAGCACTTGACGGCGTACTCGGTCCCCCAGAGCCTGTGTCGCACCTGGAACACCTGGCCGAAGCCGCCGCTGGCCAACCGGCGCCAGTGGCCGTCGAAGTCGTCGCGGGTGAAGGCGGCGGGGCTGCCCAGGCGCTGCTCCAGGCCCGTGGCCATGGGGTCGTCGCCCTGGGGACCCGGACTCCCCGCGGGGCTGCGGCCCACGCGGGGGGAGGGCTCGGAGCCGCTGCCTGCCTTCCTGCTCCGCGGCCCCGTGGGGACTGGGGACGGGGATGGGGACGGGTCGGGGACAGGGACGGGGAGGTGCAGGCCCTCCCACCTTCCACGCGGGAGGGGCCAAGCCTGCCCTGCGAGGGCGGGGACACCCTAACCCACACCCTGGGGCCCAGGCAGCCATGGGGCCTGGCCCTGGCAGAGGGTACGTCCCCAGGGGTCCAGGTGACTCAGAGCCCCTCCCCACCCCGCACCCTTCCTCAGCGTCAGCCTTCCACCTGCACCCCGGCTGTCACCCTCCGGGCTAGGGGAGGTGCCTGGACAGGGAGGTGTCCTAAACGGGGAAGCCAGAGATTTCCACTGGATTTCCACCCGGCCCTAAGCGGAAGTCGATTCATTTATTCTCACTCACATGTACCAAGAGTCTGTGAGGGGTTGAGGACTGTGCGAGGGGTCTCTGCTGATGGGTGTGGGGACCTGGAACCCACCCCCTCCGCGGCAAGAATGGACTTTAAAAGTTGCAATGGGGATTTTCTGGTCTGAATCTCTTGGCTTGATGGGCTTTACATTGCCTTTATTGTTGGGGTTTTTGTTTTGTCTCTTTGTCAACCAGTCTTGGTGTGCTGAAGGTCAGCAGGAGAGCAGAATGAGAGGTCGGGTGCCTATCTGCAGGGAGCTCCCCTTCCTGGCATCACTCTCTGACCCACCTTCAAAGGAACTGGCACCTGATTTGGGGTTGACCATGGGGAAGGTAGACTCCTTGGCCCAGTTACTGGGGTGGCTTGCTGGACAGGGATGAGGGATGAGGCTTAGGGAATAGCGGGAGCATGACCATGGCCTTGTCCCTGAGATGAGACCAGTACGGGGCAGTGTCGGGGCTGTGGAGGAATCTGGCCCAAGGGCTCAGTGCAGAAACTTGCAGAGAGGGGAGAAGAGGCACCTGCAGAGGCAGAACAGATGGGAAACTTTCCCTGTAGGCAAAGTTACCATGTCTAGGGATACAAGACAGGAAGGCTTTCCAAGGCTGAGCCTGGTGGTTCCCCCGGGTCCTCTGTCCATGGAGTTGCCCCCTCCCTGGAGAGGCCCATAGAGCAGGGAAAACTATAAGTGCTTGAAGAGGCAGGTCTCCCCAGGGACATTCCAGGGCAGGTGCTGCTGGAGGAGCTGTCACAGGACAGGGCAGGGTAGGTCACTTCTCATCTGCTGCTGATGGGCTGGAGTGACCATCCCACCTCTGGAGGAAATGCCTTACCTCGGGCCCAAACCTATAGAGCCTCTCGCCATGCCCACTGTGAGGCTCCCAGGAAATAGTGGGGGTGTGATGGGTGAGTAGAGACCACAGCTGAAGCTAGAGAACTCATTCTTTCCATAGCTGTTTCTGTGCGAACCCCAGGATGAGTTCTGGCAAGCAGGGTAACAACTGGAGGTGAGCCCAGGGACAACAGTCAAATGGACCAAGGACAGCCACTACTGAGCATTAACTTTGTTCCAGGATCACTATCAACTTTGCTTACCTCCATACTTTACAGACACAATCTTGTTTGAACCCACAACAATATTATGAGAACAACATCTCGTTTATAGATGGGGGGACTACCCTTAAGACAGCAAGTAGTCAGCAGCCACCTAGCTAGTAAGAGCCAGTTGAGATTCAGAGCCAGATCTGTTAGGTGCCTATGGAAAAGCATTGGCACAGGGGGAGTAGGGTGGTAGCCTTTTAAGAATATAGGGGCAAATAGGAGAATAGAATCGTCATCCCTGGAAGAATATAGATGTGATGGAACCTGCACCTTGAGTCGGACATGGACCTCAAAGACGTCACAGGGAGACTCATGACTTGCTTTGGCCGGAGCAGGGCAGGGCATGACAAAACTGATTGTCCCCTGGGCAGCTCTGCTTGCCCCTGACAAGTCTCATCTTCCCACAGGGAAGCCTGGAGGATGATGGAGGACCTTATGGTCAGGGAGGTCAGGAGATCCATTGGGTGGATGAGAATGGAGATTGGGAAGGAAAACAGCCTGCTGGTCTTGAGAAAGTTTGCCTCAGGCCCAGATTTCTGCCCTTCAGCACCATTTGCTGAGGCCACTGGAGGAATGACCAGGGTCAAATGGCCTGAATCAGTTGAGGAAATTCCCCTTGGCTCCGTGAGAGCAAGAAGCCAGAAGCTGCTATTGGCCATACATAGAGACCATCACGGGAATGTTGAAGCATTGCCCCTCTGGGGGGAGATACCCAGGGCTCAAGGCAGGCTGTCAGGATCCCAAATAAAACTCCTCTGTGAGTTTCTTTCCAGGGGTGGAAGTAGAGGGACATGCAGGACCAGGCTGTGTTACTGCTGACCTACTTGTTGAAACAGCCAAGCAGTGGGTTCAAGCACTCCTGAGACTTCTGAAGAATCTGGCAAAATAAATACATGCACATACTCATAGCAACTAGAGTCATTAGACTGGCTTGGGCCGCTACCTTTTGGTCCTTGTAGGCCAGGACCAAAGCTTAGCAGTCATTGGAAAAGCTCTGAGAGTAGGGGCAGAGAAGCAAAGAGCTCCTAGGTCTCTCACTAAGTGGGCTGATACTCAGGGATCTGGGAAGGAGCAAGTAGACCTAGAAGCTGCTGATTGCCTTCTGGGGGTCTGAGCGCAGAAGGTCCTGGGCCGGCCTGGCTGGGACATCTGCAGCCAGTGGGTGGAGAGGAGAGAGCTGGAGAGGAAAGGTCCGCCTTCAGCTGTCAGCTCCTACTCGTGAAGGACAATGAATGAGGCAGGTCCATCCTGACCGTGACACTGCCCCACTGGAGGGGGCGAGAAGCATGTTCTGGCCATAGGAACCTTGCCTCCAGACGCCAAGTCGTTCTGTTGACTTCTATTAACTGGATTTTATTTTGGCAGATGGGGGATGGAAATTTTCTGGGCTTGAATTTCTGCACATTGATTTTATATTCTGGACTTGGAATTATTATATGAAGTGTGTGTGTGTGTGTGTGTGTGTGTGTGTGTGTGTGTTTGGGGAGCCTAAAATATTCCGCCTGCCACCCCCAGACCAGTAAGCTGATAGAACAGTTCCGCAACACTCTGGATGATGCTGAAAACTAGCACGAGCCTTTCCCCAAACTGGAAGGGCAAGCTCTTTGCATACAGGGAAGTTCCCGGTCTGTTGCTGTTCTCCACCCTGCAAACATGTCCCAGGCCACCTGGACAAGTTCCGGCAGGCTGCAAACTCTACTAACCTGTGTGCTGAAGTGAGGCCCAGGTCAATCAAAATGAAGTAATGTGTTCAGGGAACTGGAACATTTGCCCAGGAAGCAAGGCTGTCCCCGAGAGGACGGGATAGAATGCAGCAGTAGGAGCAGGGATTCAATGCAAGAGCCTATGTATGAATCAGTGAGACCTGCCTTCAAACCCCGGCTTTTCCCTCACCACTTACGAGCCTCTTCAACATTACCAAATCTCTGTGGGGTTCTCCATCTAAAATGGGATGATAAAATGGGATGATAATATAATACCCACTTCAAAAGGTTGCTGTAAAGATTAATCTTTAAAAATACAGCTAAAAATACACCTGGGTGGGTAAGTCGGTTAAGCATCTGCCTTTGGCTCCAGTCATGATCCTGGGGTCCTGGGATTGAGCTTGGTGTGGGACTGTGTGCTCAGAGGGAAATCTACTTCTCTCTCTGCCCCTCCACCTGCTTATGCGCTCTCTCTCTCAAATAAGTAAATAAAATCTTTAAAAAACCCCACACACCTAAATGAACACCTGTAGGCAAACAAACAAAAAAACAAAGAAAACTCCTAAAGATCCAACCCAAACCAAACACATTATCCAAAACTTAACACAAAAATGAATTGTGGACTTTCTTTCATATAAAATGTAAAACCGGGATCCCTGGGTGGCGCAGCGGTTTGGCGCCTGCCTTTGGCCTAGGGCGCGATCCTGGAGACCCGGGATCGAATCCCACATCGGGCTCCCGGTGCATGGAGCCTGCTTCTCCCTCTGCCTGTGTCTCTGCCTCTCTCTCTCTCTCTCTCTCTGTGACTATCATAAATAAATAAATAAAAATTAAAAAAAAAAGATTTAATAAAATGTAAAACCATAACTCCTTCAGAAAAAAAAAATAGGTGAAATCTGGACCTAGGGCTAGGCAGAAAGTTCATTGGCTAAACACCAAAAGCATAATCCATGAAGGAAATGTGAATAAATTGGAGTTTTTTCAAAGTTAAAAACTTTCACTGTATGAAAGATGCTGTAAAGAGGGTGAAAAGTCAGGGTATGGATGGAGAGAATATTTATAAACCAGACATTCGATAAAGTAGTAGTTTTTTAGAATACGTAAAGAACCCTCCAAACTCAACAGTAGTAAAATAACAAGCTTTACAATTAAAAATGGAGGAAAGACATGAACAGACATTTCATGAAGAGGATACATGAGTGGCAAGTAAGTACATGAAAAGATGTTAGCATTAGGGAAATGCCAGTTGAAACCACAATAAGATATTACTGCACTCCTATGAGATTGGCTAAAACTTTTTTTAAAATAAATTAATTTTTTATTGGTGTTCAATTTACCAACATACAGAATAACACCCAGTGCTCATCCCGTCAAGTGTCCCCCTCAGTGCCCGTCACCCATTCACCCCCACCCCCCGCCCACCTCCCCTTCCACCACCCCTAGTTCGTTTCCCCGAGTTAGGAGTCTTTATGTTCTGTCTCCCTTTCTGATATTTCCCACACATTTCTTCTCCCTTCCCTTATATTCCCTTTCACTATTATTTATATTCTCCAAATGGCTAAAACTTTTTTTAAGTGACACCAACATCTTACAAATGGCAAGCTTTCATTCTTTTTGATGGCTGGGTAATATTCCACTGAGTATATTACATCTTCTTTATCCATTCATCTGTTGGTGGACTTCTGGGCTCTTTCCATAGTTTGGCTACTGTGGACATTGTTGCTATAAGCATTGGGGTGCAGGTGCCCCTTCAGATCACTATGTTTGTATCTTTGGGTAAATACCTAGTAGCGCAATTGCTGGATCAGAGGATAGCTCTATTTTTAGCTTTTTGAGGAAACTCCATACTGTTTTCTAGAGTGGAGGTGCCAGTTCACATTCCCACCAGCAGTGTAAGAGGAAGAACACAATTTTAAAGTAAAAATAAAAACATCCCAACTCAGACTAACAGAATTGAGCTTCTGGACAGGAATTGTGCTCTGTCTTTTTCACTGCTGTCTCTTCAGCACTGGGCATGTAGTCAAGAGCTCGTGTAATAGCTGGGGGATGGATGGATGGATGGATGGATGGATGGATGGATGGGTGGGTGGATGGATGGTTTGATGGTTGGATGCAAAGGTGAAGGGCAGAGGCTGATTTGTGGCAGTTTGTCCCACCTCTCTTCAGGGGCTTCTCTAGTTCCAGTGAGTTCCTCAGTCACTTACCATTTTCCCATCTGCCCACAGGCCATAGTCAGGCTGCTGAGAGCTATAGGCAGTTAAACTTCTGGAATTAAGCATCCTGACTGCCCAAGGGACTCCTTTTCCCTGGTGAGAACCCCTCAGAGATTCCCATCACTGCTGTCCTCATCCCATCAGACTCCTTAGGATCATTTACTGTGCTTTGTGAATGTCTTTATAAATAGGTTTTTTTTCCCCCTAGCAAAAGGCTTTTCTTTTTTTAACAAAAGGCTTTTCTAATGAAAGAGAAGAAAAAGATGGTGAGGCTTGAGGGACAAAAGCAATAAGACTTGTCCGTTTACTGAGTCTTCACTTTGTGCCCACTCCATCCACAGTGATCAACCTACATTATCTCATTTAATCAATCCCCTGAGGTAAGTAATATTATTACTCCCATTTTTACAGACTTAGAGGAGCTAAGTTACTTGCCTAATGGTCAGGCAGTTGGTAATTAGATGCCCCAGGACTTGAATCTGGCTTGTTCCTTGCCAAGGTAAATGCTTTTAACACTGTTAAGACGGCCTTAAGAGCTTTGATAAAAATAAAAACACGGACTCTCAGACTTGAGGCTCATCCAGATGCTGTGCTGGGGTCAGGGGCCCTGAGGCCAGGTTTGAGGGATGGAGACCCCCTGGAGCGTGAATCATCAGTGGGTGTTCCCTGACACTCTCATTCTCCATCAACCCCTCAGGCAAGCGTAAGGATGGGTGGGCTGGTACTGAAGACCGAGCTTTGACAATACCACGCTGTCAGGACTCTGCCCGAGGCTAAAAGATATCTTTGGAAGCTGTGCCTATAAAAAGGTCTGTATTACCTCAATCAATTTCCGCTTCTAGAGTAATTTATGGATTATTTAGTCACAGTGGAAATGAATCTTTGTCTCTGCTTTTTTGGCTGGAAAGAAAGCAATGTGTCCCTAGGACTACGGAAAGACTTTTCCACCAGGAAGAGGGGACTATACCTGTTGGAACATTTGCATGTGAGTATGGAAACTTGGCATGCAGGGTGTCACAGATGGGGTCTCAGGCCGACAAAGGGGAGCCCTTTGGCTTTCATCCAGCCCTGAGCTATCCTTTCTCTCCTGGAACAGTTACTCAGGCATGTCCCAGAAGAGGAGTGATGGGTGGTCCTGGGAGCACTCAGTCAGGAGTAACTTGGAATGGAGGATGCCCTCTTCCCAGGCACCCAGTGGTGATGGCGTGAAGCACCAGTGCTGGCTTTTCATAGAAACAAGGATTAGTTCAGACCACAGCCTATGGGTATTTCCAGGTGGTGACACTGAGTGATGATGATGTGGGAGCAGGTGGCCAAAGCAGGTTGAGTCTTTTATGCCTTGAAACACAAGAGTAAAAGACCCCTCACTACTTGGCCTCACAAGGAAAAATGTGGTCTGGAAGCAGAGACTATAGATACGGGACAAATGCAGCCATCTTCAGGGCGGCCTGGACAAGCGAAGGAGGGAATCAGTGCACATTTTCCTGCCCAGCCTTTGGGGTAGTCTAAGTATCCTTCATTTCTGCCCTCTCCCCACTCAACCCCTGCCCATCCTCACTATGTCCTCCTTGCAACTTAGGAAGGGGCAGCTCGAATAGCACTCCTTCCAGGGAGGGGTCTCTGACCTCTGTGGCTCTTGCTGGGCTAAAAGCCCCTAGCTCTGTATTACAGGCCAGGCCCAATGGTACTTGATTTCGTATGTCCACCCCCATTCTCTTGAGCAGACCTCCCTGAGAGGAGAAACTGTGTGTGTGTCTGTCTTCTGTGTGTGCCCCGCACTTATCCCAGTGCCTGGCACATACTGGGCACTAAACAAATGAAAACTGTCACTTGCTGTAGTATTTTTGCCCAAACCATTACCACCGCTGGGTGAGAATAACCAGACTTCACCCCACACTGGTCCTGGTTCAAGTCCCCTACTGCCTTTCCCTGCTAAATGTTATCATTCACACAAATATTTATTGAGCACTTGTTATGTGTTAGCACTTTCCTAGGTCCTTGGTCACATTAGTGATCGGAATAAATAAAACCATGGAATTCACATTTTAGCCGGAAGAGAGATGGAGTGCAAGCAGTAAGCAGTATGTCCTTATAAGTAAATGATAAGGCATGTTAGTATGATACGTCTCTATATTAAATTGTAGAAAGAAAGGAGCTAGGAGAAATAGGGCAGGAGCACTAAACATTCCAACTAGTATTTTCAGGGTAAGTAGAAGTTAGGCAGGATAAAAAGAACTAGGGGACAGATAAGGGCTCTTCTGAAAACACTGACAACTCAAACCGGCAGAAACAAAAGTGGGATTTACTGTCTCATAATTGGGAAGTCACTGGTAGCCTTGGGCACAACAGGATCTGGGTGCTCAAACAATGATGTCAGGGCTCTCAACTCTTGGGGTCACCCTTTCCTAGCCTCCTACTGCTGAACAAGAAACATTTCCCTGCCACCCCTGCAGATAGTGATTTTTCTTTTCTCAGTGACTGTGGTTACAGCAGCACATAGCCCAGCTACTTAGAAATCCTTATTTCAAAAATGCTATTTCTACTCCAATTCCTGACCTGAATTTCACATAATTCTACTAGTTCTGAGAAGCTGGAAAAATAAAGGCACATATTCCTTTATTGCTTTTTTTAATGATCCAGAGCCTCTGCTGTGTGGCCCAAGCAGGACCCCAGACTGATAGCTCTTTAAGGGACAAGGATATCCCGAGCAAACATGTAGGGGAAAGATGAGAACAGGTCTCACTTTAGTTGTCAGACATTATTGATTGGTGCTTGGGGTGCAGGGCCGGGGTTAGGAAAGGGGGTCATCCCCTTCTGCTGAATGGGTCAACAGGGTACACTAAATTTCTCCTGAAATATTTCCAAACTGCCTTTGGGGGGAAAAGTCACAGCTGAGTCAGGTAGAAAGAGACCCAGAAATACAGACCACGTAGGAGAGGGTCTGCTTCATCAGACGTGATCCCTCCCTTTATAAACTGCTGTAGTACTGATCGCAGACCCACAGAAGCCTGGAGATTTCTAAGTGCTTCCCTTTGCTTGAAGGACACCAGGCACCCCGCCATACCGTGACTTTAGAGCGATAATCCCTGTAATCCAAGGGCTGGGGTTTGGAGAACCTATGCCCTCAGCGGATGTTTCTCTAATTCCTGATGGCAGGTGCATGGATCAGAGGCCAAGACCACATTAGCGCCAAGAGGAGGTTTCTGCTGTATCTGATTTTTTTTCAGCCCACTGCTGCTCTGCTATAATTATAATAGAAATGGTGAGGGGATATTATCTTGTTCACTCAAAGGCGTTTTATATTATCTAGCACAGTGCTCGGCACATAGCAGGTGCTTGATAAATATTTGTTGAATGAATGAGGAGCTCTTCGGGATCAAGCTGCTGTCTAAATGACCTTGGCTGAGGAGCCCCTTCAAGGAACGATGGGCTCCAGACTCCCCATCGTCTGGGGTGGGGGAGTAGCAGGCTCTGGAAACGCAAGCCTGTCACAGGGAAGGCGCCCTGGCTTCCGCCACCCACGGTCCCACGCCCACAGGAGTGTGTGGTGCCAGATCGGCTGCGACAGTAATCCTTTGCAGGGGGCAGATTTAAGCTGTTACCTAACTGGCCGCTGATGGATTAGCGGGGCTTTCAGATAAAACCTTAAAGGAGTTAGGCTTTTGCTTTCCCCTTCACCCTCAGGGAGCCAGGGAGGACAGGCCACCTCTGTAAGCTGCAGATTGGGCCAGAAAGTCAAGAAGTTGAGAAGAGGAGAGGAGAGAAGAGGAGAGGAGATGCAGAAAGCCCTTTTGAGGGAGCTAGAAGTCCTTCCCTGTGGGTGGCTGTCATCATGGGCAGGGGCAGACTGCAGGCTGAGGGTGCTGCTGGAAACCCCAGGACTGTCTGGGTGGGGCCTCGAGTGGGGCTCTTGGCCTAGATTTGCTCAGAGAAAGTGTAGAGGGGACCATTGTGTTCCATGTCCTAGGGCTGCTATGAGGGACAGTTGTGGCCCTGGCCAGTTCTCTGAGGAGCTTGGGAGCCCCACAAGGGAATCCCATGACCCAAGGGAAGCCCCTGTCGCCATGGTGACTCACTCACGTGCCCTTGAGGACAGGGCCAAGCAAAAACGCAAGGGTGTGCCCTCTGTAGAGTGAGGTTAATAAACACCTTCTGTATACACCTAATGCTCTTTTGCTTGTCCACAAAACTTCTCACAGCAGACATCTTCCCGGTCTTCCAACTAGAATTTAAGTTCTAGCAGTAGAAGAAAAAAAACCATGAAGACACAGAAAATAATTCTATAAGAATGGGGTGTTTAAAAGTGCAACACAGGGGCACTTGGGTGGCTCAGTGGTTGAGCATCTGCCTTTGGCTCAGGTCCTGATCCTGGAGTCCTGGGATAGAGTCCCACGTCAGGCTCCCTCCTCAGCAGGGAGCCTGCTTCTCCTTCTCCCTCTCCATCCTCTCTCTCTTTCACTCTCTGTCAAGTAAATACATTAAAAAAAAAAAAAAAAGTGCAGCACAGCTGTGCCAGACTGGGAGAAAGGCAGGCAGTGTGGGCTGTGCCCAGTAGGGTGGTTGTGTGCCTAGAGGGACCCCTGCAATCTTGGGCCAGCCCCTTGATCCCTAAGAGTTCTCATCAGTAAAGAGGGAATTGTATGAGCATCTGAAACCTAGTGAGTACTTTAGGCAGCATCTGAAACCTAGTGAGTACTTAATAAAAAGTACCTGTCATTTGTATGATGACAGTGCTTCGAGGATGGTAGGATTTGAAGAGCAGGAAAGAAAGGTGTTTTAAGTGGGGTAGGGTGCAGAATCAAGAAGATGGGAATGAACAGAATATATGCAGACAAATACTGGGGAACTGGCCCGAGGGAACAGAGTACTTGGTGGGGAGCCACCATTCAGCAATTGTGGCTCAGGCTTCGTGAGGTGCTGAGCCCCACTGCAAACCACAAGATCAGCTAGCTGAGCTGAAGACAGAGTATGACCCTACAACCAGGTCGTTTTTGTTTGTTTGTTTTTTAAGATTTTATTTATTTATTCATGAGAGACACTGAGAGAGGCAGAGACATAGGCGGAGGGAGAAGCAGGCTCCTTGCAGGGAGCCTGATGCTGGATTTGACCCCAGGACCCCAGGATCATGACCTGAGCCAAAGGTAAATGCTCAACCCCTGAGCCACCCAGGTGCCCACCAGGCCAATTTTTAAGGCACAGTGAGATCACATTGAATGGGCCATGTGTGGTTTTACCAATACTATTTATAGGAAAAAATAACTTTGGGGAGGTAATAATAGATACGCTTATTTTAAATTATGCCTAAAACCTATGAATCATAGCTCTTACTTATAGGCACTGTACGGAGTACATATAAATCTTACAGTAGTTCAAGTAAAATATTAAGAGTGCTTTATCAGCAAAACTTCCAAAAAGTAAAAAAGTGCTATGTTCTTACCATCTCCACACCCATATGCACACTCCCTGACACACATGCCCCACACACCAGCAGGGGGGTTTGCCCTTGATCCTGTGGGTAGTTGTGTGCAGGTGACTGGGAGGTACATCACAACAAAGTGGTGTTTAAGAGGATTATTTGGGCTGCAGTGTGCAGAGGGGCAGAAGACAGAGTGGGGACAAGGGACTCAGCAAGGAGATACCACAGCACACCTGGCTTTTTCTGATCCCCTTCCCCCCACACCCCAAAACTGAGGATGCAGTGCAGAGTCCCCATCGCATGCTCATCTCCATCCCCTAGGCCTGCACCTGCCGCCTCCCCGGCCCACTCAGATTCCCACCGGCCATCCTCACCAGCCTCCACTTCTGTGGGCCAGTCTACATCCCAGGTAACACTTCTCTGTTCTCTCTCCTCTGTCTTTGGGCGGAGTCACATATGAATCCCTCTGACCCTGATGGGATCCTCATATTTAAGAACTCTGGAAGAGAGCACACATGATGGCCAGGCAGGGGGTGCCTGTGGAAGCAGCTGACTCAGAATCATGACCACAACGGTGGCTACTACTTCCTACGGGCTTGCTTTGTGCGCAGCTCGGTGCTGAGAGCCTTCCAGAAATATTTCATTCAATCCTTACCCTCAAACCCATCCCCACCATCTATGGACAGAGTGACTGCAGGGCTCAGCAACACATGGAAGTTCTAACATGTGGAGCTGGGCCCTGAGCCCAGGCATCCAGACCCAGAACTGGCGCTCCAGCCGCCGTGCCTCCTGTGGGCCCCTGCACCCTTGGCTCAGAGGTTCTCGTGCAGGGAGGACACTTCGGCCTTTTGAGGAGTCTTGATCTCCTTGTTTGTAAATGACGGGGGCGTGGGCTGGACACTTTTGAGTGTGCCTTGTATTTAGCTAGTGACATCAGATGGATTCCAATAAAGCAGGTACTGGACTAGATGGTCCCTGGGTTATTTGCAGCATGAACATTCTGGAAACCTTTGTCCCCAGCACGCGTTTCAGTATTTCTCACTATCTTGCATGCCTTTGCTCTGGCCTAAGTCCCCACTGCGTGTGAACTAACCCCATTTTTATGTGGAAACTCATTTCTCTGCAGCAGAGACGGGCAGACTGCGTGTGCGGGGGCGGACCTGTGGCTCGAGGGGGAGCGAGAGACCTAAATGAGCAGATGGAGCAGCTGAAGATTAAAAGCGCAAATGGGAAGTTGGGATAGACATGTGACAGGACAGCGATGCTCCGGCTGAGCTGAACTGGCACATCTGGCAGGCAGCCAGGCTCACTCGGAGCAGCTCCTCTCAACCCACCAGCGACCGGAGCTCGGTCTGGAAAGGCGCAGACCTGAGGCCGGGGTGGCCGGGAACAGATGGCCAGTCCCTGCCATTGCTGCTCTGCTGGCGCCCGAGGGCCCCTCTCTGGAAAAACCCGATCCTGGCTGCAGGGGCAAAATCACAACACCCCCTGGGAGAACCCATTCTTAGTTCCGCAATTTTGAAATTGAGATCAAATTAGAGGTCTCATAAAAAAAAAAAGTCACCCAGCTGGTTTCAGATCACAGAAGCCCAGCGCTTCACTGGTGCCAGGTGGCCGCAGGAACACCAGGAGCTGACTGTCCAGAGGTGATGGTCAGCTGGTGCTCACGCTCCCTTGCCAGGGCCACCAGGATACCTGGTAGTATGTTGATGAGTGAGTGCAGCCCTTGGAATCAACAGGTTTTCCTGATACTAAACTGAGGACAAATAGCAAACGACAGGGAGCATCTGTATGGCGGGGAGGCTCCTAGCCCCCTGACATAAGCGCAGCCCAGCCCGGGCGCTTGCAGGGCCTGGTCACGTGTTCCTGGCAGGCCGCACTGTCACAGCACCCGTAAGCCCTGCTCGGAACCCCACCTGGCCCAGGGCAGGCCTCGGTGCCTCGGAGGGAGGAGAAGGCAGGTCCACAGCTCGGTCTTTGCCACTGGGCACGGGAGGGAGGGAAAGGCGAATGTGGCAGCCTGGTCACTGCTCACCTTCACGGAGATGGGGGTGCCTAGGGGACGAGCAGATTTTGGTTAGTGTGGGAAGAGGCAGATAATGAGTTCACAGCAATTTCTGGCCTAAAAATTATAGTCACCATGAAGAGGATGCCTCTGTCTTCCAGTCACAGAAGGCGGGCACCTCATGTATGCTATCTTCAAATCCAAGAACTCTGCAAGTAGGGATTGTGGCTCCCATTTAATAGAGAGGAAACCAACTGAAGCTCAGAGAAATTAGAAGACTTGCATCCAAGTGGAGGGATGCTGATGTGTGGAAGGAGTTAAAACCCAAGCTGGGGTGAAATACTGAGTCCCCTCCTTACCAGCCATGTGATCCTGGGTAAGAAGAACTATCTTTATATCTTAGTTTCTTTACCCATCAAATGCAGACAGTCCCTGCCTCGCAGGGCCTTTGTGAGGCTTCTATGGGGCAGGATCTCCAGGCACCTGTTACATGCATAGAGCCCAGAGCATGGGCATGACTCATTCTCTCTGCCAGGCCTGCAGGTCGCTGGCCTATGAGGACCAAGAACCTCTTGTATGTAGAAAGGGAGTGAACTGTAAATGTTTTCTTCACCCCCAATGACTCTCTCCTCTTACCAGGCACTCTGAAGAGCCCCTATTTTTTTTTTTAAGATTTTTTTATTCATGAGAGATACAGAGAGAGGGGCAGAGGCACAGGCAGAGGGAGAAGCAGGCTCCTCACAGGGAGTGGGACTCGATGCCGGATCCTGGGATCACGCCCTGAGCCAAATGCAGATGCTCAACCGCTGAGCCACCCAGGTGTCCCAAAGAGCCCCTATTTTGAAGGCATTTAGCAAATAGGATGAATGTCATCTAGCTTTCCAAGCCAACAAGTCCTAGATAACAGATCCTCAGGGTGATTCCCTATTGGCCACATTCTCTTTCGGACAGATGATCCCAGCTCCTTTGCCCATGGAACCAGCAGGCTGCCTTCCCAGAATAAGCTGTGGCCCAGAGAGTGGGGAGGATGATGCTCGTGGCTCCCAGCCCAAGATGAACCCCTTCTGCAACATGGAATTGTTTTTTCCATGCTTCCTGGGAGCCCTATATGATAGGGTGTGTCAGAGGTGACAAGACGAGGGAGGATTGGCCTGCACAGGAGATTAAGCACTGTATGTGAAACATCTCTCTCCACCCTGAGAGGAGGGAGCTCCTCAGGTGCAGCCAGACCCTCCTCTAAAAGCAGGGAAGATGACTGCTCTCAGCAGGCACTCTGAAGTGGAGATAATAATATAATTTGACATTCCCCACTCTTTGGGGGAAGAGATTACACGTATAATAGCCATTTTCAAGAGCCAGGGAGGAGGAGTGCAGCCCAAGAGTGGGAGAAGGAGAGGCCTGAACTTCAAATCAGAGAAGCTGAGCCTGATGGTTATGTACACAGGCAGCCTTTTACATTTTTAAGGCTCCACTGAATTCTCTCTGGAAACAGCAAATTTTGCGGCCTCTGATTTTCTTCTCGGTGCTCTGTTTAGCATCAAGCCAACTCCCATTGCAATTCAGAAGCCTCTTGAAGGGTGTGTTTGCTTGCCTCCTGGGCCTGAGCGGGCAGGTCCGGACCTCACTGCTGCAGCCTGTCACTTGTCTGCCGCCCAGGGACAGGGACAGTGTGACAGCGCCATCATCACAAAGTGCTCCGGTGAGCTCACTCCAGTCCCACACGGTGTACTGATCCCAGCACCAGGGTCTCAAGGTGCCAATTACCTTAGTGTCAGGAGCAAAGTTCTTCATTCACGCTGGGGGCTGCCTCACTTGTGAAGAACCATTTCCTTGGGTGTATTGAATAAAAACTCTGAGGAGGGGGAGGATCTCCTTTCCTACACAGTCCAGAAAATGTCCAGCTCTGATTCCATAAGGGACACAGGCTTCACCCTTGTTTGGGTCCCTCAAATTTAACCCAACTGATGTCACGGTCAACCCTTTTGACCTCAGGATGGAGCCCGGTAACCTCTTTGTGTAGCACTTTATGGTTAATTCCCTGAGTGCTGTTAGCTCTAAAAGTTCATTTAGGCTTCACAGCAATATAGGTGATAGGTTGGACAGGTGTTCTTCTAGGTTTTCCAAAACCAGCAATCAAAGCCCAGAGAGCTGAAGCGACTTGCCTGGAGTCACGTAGCTGCCAGGTAGCAGACAGGACTGTAAGTCTTTGGAATTATGGAACACTCTTGGCGTTCACTACAACATGAGGGTCCTGCTGCCCACCCTAAAATGTCCACGTGACTGTGCTAAGCCATGGGAGTATAGTGTCACTTGTTGGATTTTTCACTTAGGGATTTGGGGTCCAGAGGAGGCAGTGGCAAGGGAGCAGTGCGTCTGGGCGATGGGGTGAGAGTGTAGGGTGGGTTTGGGGAACAAAAATATGTCAATGTTTGTGACAAGTCAGGGCAGAGACAGGTGCCCCTGCTTGGTACTAAGCCGAAAACCATCTAACACGTGAAGTAGAGTGCTTACAAATCCCTTGATAGGCCGGACGAGGGCACCAGACGGCACTTCCAGCGACAATTGCCTGGACTGTCAAGAACACACTGCCAGGGGAGCCACCACTTACCACTCAACCCACTGAATTCAAGAGCACAGGGCACAGCCTGAGAGACTGGCCACCACCTCTGCTGCCACTATCCCGGGGCCAGAACTCAGACACTGAGATCCTGTTGTTGAAAAACCTGATGTTTCTAGCACGTTCCCTGAAGGAAAACAGCCACAGGGGCAAGATGGAAATTCAGTTAGCAGAATCTAGTTCTTGTCTAGAACCATAGCTTATGAGGGAATCTGGGAAATCTGACTTTCCATTTGCTGGTGTCCAGCCCCTGCAGGACAGGAAGGGACAAGAGGCAACTGAGCTGCAGAGGGAGTTGGCTTGATGCTAAACAGAGCACATAAGAGAGAGTGGTGGACGCTGAGCAGTTTCCAACACCGTGGTCAGCCTGATGCCCACGCCCCCATTACCAGTGGAGACCAGAAGGCAAGCATCTGAAAACAAAATTCATCCCTGGAGTGGACATTCAAAAAGTCTTTATTACCACAGGGACCACCCACAGCACACAGTCCTGGGTTTGTGAAACCGTGCACAGACGCCACGTGTCTTAAGGATCGGCGACGTACTTCATCGTGGAGTTGAGAATCTCTATGCCATGCAGCTCCCGCAGCTGAGCAGCAAATCTGCCATGATCAGAACACAAAGTCCAGCACATCGATGTCATGGTGACCAGAGCCACCCCCTCTCAGGTAGGGGCTGGCTGGCAAGGTGGAAAGGGAGTAGCTGATGCCCTGGGAGCCCTAGCGATCAGAGCAGGGAAGGTGCCAGGGAACCACGAAACTCGGTAAATGCTGTCTATGAGAGGCAGATGGCCAAGCTGATCCCATGGGGCCTTGCTCTCAGGGACTCCCCAGTAGGCTGCCACTTTGAGCTCATCCTAGCTAATGTGCCTTGCTTTCTACAGAAGAAAGATTTTATCCAGGCTTTCCATTTGAACAGTCAGAATGTGAAAGGGCCTCAGATGTCAGCCACGCCAACCCTCTCATTCTCCAGAGGAGGAATCAGAAGGCTTAGTCTGTCCGTGGAAGGCATCCCCTCAGGCCCAGGGGTCACCTCCCGGGAGCATGAACGACTTGGGGCTTCAGCATGTCAGAACCCAGCCAGAGCAGAACAGAGGCTGAACAAGAAGCAGTGTGCACAGCTGAGGCCAGGATCTCCTGCCCAGGCTGGCCAGGTGGTTGTGACCAGGCCATTCTGCCTCTGGCTTTAGTTTCCTCCAGCATGAGAATGTCACCCTCCTTGGACACTGTCCCAGATGCTCAGGACCCAGGCAACAAAAAGAAGCAGGAGGGATGCCTGGGCATAGCAGTGAGAAGCAGGAGGAGCATGAGGGAGGGGGACAGAAGGACAGCGGCAGGGAGCGGAAGGAACAATCCCTGTCCACAGAGCATCTTCTCTCTCTGCCTGGAGTCAAAAGCTCCCCAGTTCCCCCCAGGGAAGTAGCTACTGGACCCAATGCCTGTCTGCACAGGAAGCACCAGGGCTCCCAGGGCTCCCCACAGAGTCCTGGGTGGCACAGTTGCCCGGCTGCCACACAGCCACCGCACAGCACCTCCGCTGGCCCCGCGGCTTCTAGGGCATGACTGACATGGGCCACCCAGCCAGGTACCTGGGTTGGGCCGTGCACAGCTTCCCCAGAGCGATCCCCGCATTTAGCTGCACGGCTGTCTCCTGCGCATCGCCACCGGCGTGCCTTAACAACACCTGCACAACATCCGTTTTCAACAGGGAGGATGCAGCGTAGGGCACCTCCATGCAGTTCCCCAGGCAGAGGGCGGCATTGCCCACCACCATCTCATCCTCAGAGCTGAGGAGCTTCATCAGAATGCCAAACTCTAGGGGGAGGAAAGAGAAAAAGCACCTGTCCCTCTAAATCCCAAATAGGAGGCTAGCCACGGCCCTCGAGGGCACAGGGAGTGTCTGTGGACACTGGGCTTCCCCAGAAGCTCTGCCATGTCACTCTGCCACTCAGCAAGTGTCTGGGGAGTACTGTGAGCCTCATCAGGCCTTGCCGTGTCTCCCACGTTTCTCAGGTGCCCAGAGCAGTCCCCAGGGTGACACGGCTGTCGTGTGAATGAATGTTATGTGTCAGACAGGTCTGGCTTCCCTAAAGTCCCCAACTGTAAGCCCTACACTCCACCTGAGAGCCCAAGTGAGAGGCCACAGGCCTGCTTCCTGCAGCTGCAGGGCCAGGAACAGGATCTGGAGGAAGGGTTCCTACTTCCACGGTGGGGCCACAGGTGTGAAGACGAGCAGGCTGCCTCGCAGGGAACCCCTGCTACAGGCGCCTGCAGCCACTTTTGGTTACTGGACTGATGCTAGCTGGTCCCAACTCTGCTGTCACCAAGGTGTTGCCACCCCCACCTTGAAGGGAGAGAACCCATGACATGCTTCCAGAACAGGGTGAAACAGCTATCCTACCCAGTAAACACTGCGAAAGCCTAAGGAGAGGGTAACAGCGCTATGCTGAGTCTCTCCCCACAACTTGTCCCTGTTCCCCTTACAGCTTCCAGGGTGGATTAACCTCTGAGACGTAGGCTCAGCTTCAGGAAACGATCACTTACTTTTATCCAGTTTTATCACTTCTTCTCGTGCTTCATAATGGCTATTCGTGCAGACAGCTAGTGTTTTTATGGCATATCGTGACGCAGTCTGGCCCCCAGTCTGGGTTTCAGAATGAAATTAGAAAAATAAAGTCAATCCTATGATTGTTCTTGGCCAGAAACGAGCAAGCGGCTGTGCCTGTGTTTGTGTGGCTTCCTGAACTTCTGAAAACACTGCTCCCCTGAGAACGGCACACACTTCCTGGTGTGCGGGCCAGGTCCCTGCTGGGGTGGAGCCATTCACATCCCCAGTCACACAGCCCACAGCCCAACAGGAATTCCGACAGGGATGCGGGCCTGTCATGTGCACCTGGGTAATTGCCCATAGAAGGCTTTCTGAGTGAGTGGCTGAGGAGAGAAGGATGCTATTGGGCTGGCAGATCTACCAAAAAGGGAGGCACAGCCCCCCCGCCCCCGGTGTCATTTCACCCCTGGAAAATGGGGAGTGACTAGCTGAGGCTGTCAGGCTGACAGGTCTGCATGGAGAACATCACAAATCTAGATCATTTTAAGAGGTGACAACTGTCAAATCATAACCCGCAAAATCACCCAATGCAGGCTCTTTCAGAGGCACCTGTATATCTTACACGCATCATGCACATGTGTGTGCATGCGATCAACAGGCTCCAGCGGGTGTGCAAGAGCTGCATGGAGTGAGTGACGGCCATTATCCACCTAAAGCCTGCCCCCTGCTCCCCCAGTGATGCCCTGCCCCAGCAATACTGCCCCATGATAGGACGCCTCCTGGCCCTGCTCAGCCTGGGGTTTTAGGAGAGGGCCTGCCACGAGGTCATCACAGTAAGATGGGTGCGAAGCATGCTGGGCAAGGGCAGTACAGCCACGGGCCATGGCTGGCAGCCATTACTCACCTGGTCCTTCCAGTGAGTCCACTCAACTGTTGCACTGATTTGCTCAGATCAGGGGAACTTCCCTTATGCACACAGTAGCACTGCACCGTCTGTATCTCATAAAGGGAGCTACAGCCAGCGCTCTCCAGGTAGCCAGAGAAAGTATGGTGAGCAGAACATGTGCAAAATAAGGGGTGTGTGGGACCTTATGGAAAGCCACTCTGTCCTTTTGCAGGGAAAGAGGTCATACATTTTAAGTGAGGCTTGCCTGGTAAGCAATTTTTATGGGTGCTTCTAATGGACTTATATGTTCAAAACTCTTAGGTTGATGTTCAGAGTGCTGTCTGGGTGACAGGTGGAAGAAATCCTACGTTGAGAAGTGTGACATCGGGCAGGGGTGCAATGGCGGCCCCTAACTGAACACAGCCGCCTTAATTCTGTCCCCTGGACAGTCTCTGATGCTCCTGGGGATTCAAGCGCTTTTACCCAAGTTGCTCACTCTACCTTCAGGAACTTAATCATCTTCTTCACCACTCCAGCTCTCAGGGCCTCCTCAACCATCTTCCGGGAGGAAGAAAGGGTGCGGCTGAGGACGCCAGCAGCTCTCTGAGTGAGGCAGAAAGGAAAGATGATTCACTATTCTGTTCAGAAATGCTGATGACCTTGAAAAGTGAGCAAGTAGCTTGGGGAGGCAAAAACAATCATTAGTATGGGGAGCAAAACACACGCCTTGGTTTTACAAATACAGAGTGGCCAAAGACGTAAGTAATTCGTTTTATAGCTGCGACTCCAAGGCCTGGAAACACAGCCCCCTGGCACACCGAGGCCTGGCTCGTTTCAGCTCTGCGTAGAACCAACCAGTTCAGCTCTGGCAAAGAACGTCCTGGACACCCCGCAGCACTCTGCAGGCTCTTCACCAGATGGCAGACTTCTTGGATCGACCCTCATGGTCTCGTAGCTTTTCCTTCATCTTGTCTGAACCTTTGTCTGTTTGTTCTACTTTCTGGAAGACTCTACTTATGATTTCCCAGTTCTATTTCTGTTTTCTCCTTTTTTAAAAAATAGCTAGCTGTTACTGTCTTGTAGATAGAAGACTATCTTGAAACTTTCCGAGGACGCAGACGCTATTTTTCTTCTGTTTCCTGTATCATCTCTATTTCTTTTGAGTTGATTTTTCTGTTAATCTTGGTTTTTCTATTTCTGTGTGTGGCTTTCCGGAGATGTCCAGCGACCTAGCTGTCCATTTGTGGGCACATTTACAAAAAAGCCGTACAAATACATTTGGGCATGCTGAGTTTATAGGGAGTTTGTTCACTGACAAACAGTGGAGAGGAGGAAACACTAGAAACGCTAGAAAGCAAAAACATTTTTCTCTGGTCTTTCAGTTCCTCAAAAGAATAAAAGCTCTACTTTTCCACCTGAGGGATAGATGCCTGGCTGCCACAGGCAGTCCCCTATCTCTTACTCATGCCCTGTGTCCTACATGCTGTTCTGGAGTCTCCATTTTCTCCAGAGTCCCACAAGGCAGACCTGTTTCCCCTGTATCTGTAGTCTGCACTGTTTCTTCGCCCTGCCTCATGAATTAAGACTTTTGCAGTTATTCTCCACCTTCCATAAATAGGTTACAATGATTGAAAAACTGACTGGTGACCTCCTGCCTGTCTGTTTTCTCGATGTGGATTTCTAACTTTTTTTTTTCCCCCTATTGCTTTTGGTCTGATTTTAATGAGGTTTCCTATGGAGAAAGGATAAATGTGTGTATTGTCATATTATCAGTTGTATCAGTTTTGTTTCTCTCAGCTGCTCCCTGCAGGTGCTACGGTACTGTTATAGTTGACCCCATGGATCTCTTTTTAGGCCCAAGGCAGTGGGGGGAGCACTCTACCAAAGGACCACCTTCCCCTGGTGAAGCTGCTGCTCTGCTGCATAAGCTGGTCAGCCCTGGAGAGAGGTACAGAATCCTGGGAAAATCCGGCCAGGAGAGTACGTGAAGGGTTAGCTCAGAACCACCATAGACTGCACTCTGGTCTAAACAGTTCAGAAAAGCCCAAGCACCCGAGAACAGTGGTGACACTTTTGGGGGCATGGACTTTTTTTTGAGGATCTGATGAAAGCCATGATGCCTCTCCTACAAAAATGCACATACACTCAAGATTCTCTATACAATTTCAGGGGCTTTGGGGAACCTGGAGACCTACCACACATTCCTGGAGTTCACATTAAAAACCTCCATCCCATCATGTCTGAATTCACTTTGGGAAAGTTGTAGGCAAGCCAGCCCCAAACAGGATTCATCGGATCGGTTCAGAACTTTTGTTATGATCCTGGACCCCATGTCCAGTCTGTGTACCTTGAAGGGCTGGCTTCCCAGACCTGCTTGATATGCCCTAGTTGTTTCTCTAGCAGCCAGGGCCCTGACGCCATAGTTGGAAAAGTTGGGGTGATTACTTATGTGAGTAAAGAATACATTCTAGGATGGCAGCAAATGTTCTGGTGAATCATACTGATGTTCTCCTGATGCTCTGTGTTAACCACAGGTTCTTCTCAGTTTTCTTATCCAAATGTCAGAAACAGAAACGAGAAAGCCAAACGAATGGCCGGGGAAATGGCCTTTCCCTGAGATGGCTTATCTGTCTAAGGGGGCATATATCTCTAAGGGGGCTAAAACTATTATGCATAAACAACCTCCAGGAAATGGGCTTCAAAATATGGGCCTGGCTTTCTTGACTATGGAAAAAGAGATTCTAAATAAAATCTTGTGGCCTGTCCAATTTGTACCAGGATATCTTGGAATAGGACAAATCAGATAAATTACATTGTATAAGTTGTGAAGTTGCAAACTACACAGAAAAAGGATTCTTAACTTAGGTCCATGGACTTTAGGGGGTCCACAGATGGACACTGTGTGAGGGTGCCACTAAATCCCCAGTAACAACAAAGGAAGCTATTTCTGGATTTCCCTAGGAGACACTTACCGTCAGGATCCCTCCATCTTGGCTGTTCAGTAGAAACATGCACTTCCTGCTCACCTCCACAGCCCAAACCTGCTGTGACAGGGAGAGAGAAGGAGGAGGTGTGAATGGCCTGTTAATCTGAATCCTCCAAGGAGCTTCTTCTCAACAAGCATAACTGACTTCTCCTCTTCAGCACTGCCATGCTCTGTCCATATTTCCCTCACGACCCCTTCTTGTGTGACTCTTACTTCTTCCCGCTGCCATTTCCCTAACTACAGGGCAATACCTTGAGAGCAGAGACCACATTTTATTTGGCTTTGTAAAAGCAGAACCTAGCACTGTGCTTAGCACCTTGTGAACACGCAGTCCATTTTCTGGATGAACACCTGACTGACTCATTTGTCTCTCAGAGGAGCAAAGTGACAGAGCATCTGTCCAGCATTCCCCATTCCTGCTGCCAGGGTTTGAATCCCCAGGCTACTCTCTTGGTGGGAATGAGAGCAGTTCTAGCAATGGCATGAACTTGGGCTTGGGATGTTCCAGGGCTCCCAGCAGGGAGGAAAGAAGGTCGTACCTCATAGACGAAGGGGGACTGAAGACACAAGTTCATCACAAGTCCTAGGAGTGTGTACATGACTTCTCTGAAAAAGTCCATGTCTTCTTCACATCTGGCCTTTAGGAACAAAGCAATCAATGACCTTCTGCCCTGCAGCTTTTCATGGCCATTTCATCTCCTTGACAATGGCCCCAGCATCACTTATACTCCCTGAATTGTCAATGTCATGAACCTAGGTGAGGTTGGAAGATCAGAGACCGGTTCCATGGATTGCAGGGAGTGTCCAGTGCCCGTGCAATGTGACTCTGGCTCGACCCAGTCCTGTGTTTAGACTGAGTGAGCTGCTGATATGGGGAATAAAGCCAACTCCACCAGAAAATCCTTCAAACCTCTTCAGCGTGACTAAGGCTTGACCCAGAGGGCTCTGTAAGGCCGGCCACCCATAACATCTCTGGTTATAGAAGGGATAATCCACTGGCTCCTGTACCCTCAAACAGGATTTGTGGAAAATCCAGATAATCAACAGGAAGCCAATGCTCCCAAAGCAGGGAAAAAATAATTCTGACTAGAGAAGTTACAATACCATGAGGCCCAAGCAGGCCTCCCTGAACTCTTCAGAAGCAAACATCTGTCTCCGGACGGCAGCCTCAGCACTGAGGTTCCCCATGAGGGCAATGCACCGGCAGAGCGCGGAGGGGCTGGTTACCATGGGATCTCTCTCCTGAAAGTGAGTCAAGAGAAAGAAAGTCTGTAGAGAGCAGGCAAACGATGCTGGGGCCATCTCTAGAGGCGTCCCTCACTCACGAGAATCCTTGGGAACCCGAGAGTGTAATGTCAAAACCAGGGGCATCCACGGGCCCACACTGGCACCAGGATGGAGGCACACAGAGGGGCAAACCCCAAAGCGCTTTAGTCTGGAATAGGGGGGCCTAGGGCTTCCAAGCAGCTGGGAGAACTTGCACAAGTCTTGTCCCTTCTCAGAGCTCCCATTTCCACATGTGTGGATATGCACCCAGGTCCACAGATGGACACTGTGTGACGGTGCCACTAAATCCCCAGTAACAACTGAGACCCTGAGACCTCTATGGCTCCCTGGGGACAGGTCCCCATCCCAACATGCTCTCCTAGGAGAAGCCTATCCTGCTATTTTCTGCTTCATCAGCTCAAATTACCACTTGCCTTCCTGATGGGAATGACTGCCATTGAGGGGACAGAGCTGCCTGCAGTCCTTATGATGAGGCTTAGGGCCAGAAGGGGACAGATGGGGACTGACCCCTTGTCTCCACCTTCACCTAAGATGCAGTCCACTTCTGCCTTTGTCTCCCTGTACCTGGCCCCCTCTATATGCCATCTCCACCTGTCCCAACTGCAGTTGTTTTAATAACTGAGAATTGTGTAGATTCCAGCTGTGAGTAAACGATTAATCAACCTGAGAGACGACAGGAGCTCTAGAGTGTAAACTGTGTTTAAATGGCTCTGCTCACGAGCCTGAGAATGCCTGTCACAGGTGATCAAAACAAGGGGCTTGCTCACCAGAACACCTGTGAGCGTTGGGAGCACACCTGGAAGGTTGGCCTGGAACCAAACTCGGAATCTGTTGAGAAAACATCCCCGTGATTTATTTCTACACCGTACAAACTATAACACAGATACAGTGTTTTGGATAATGGAGCAGACTGTCACAAACTCTGGGCCCATGTGATTTGCAGCATGCATGGATGATTTATTCTCAAACAAAAAAAATGTCACTGGGTATTCGCATGGCTTTAATTTTTCTAAATCTAGAGAATTGCCTTTGATGTTAAACAACAGATCTCAGATGGCAGCTTTCTCAATGCAGAAGTTGCAGAAGCCCTAGATTTCTGCCAAGTGGACTTACCACCACCCCTGCCCTCCCCTTGCTCCAAGCCTGTGTGTCGTGTGTCGTGCAAACAGGAAACATGGTGCAAGCAAGTTTACTGAACACAGTCATGAGGAAGGCCCAGATGCATACACATCTGCATGTACAAGAGTGGCTTTTACCTGTTCCCAGCCCATGCCAATGGCCTACGGGCACAAACAGCTCTTTCTCATTATATGACCATTTCTAAGCAAGACACCCTAAAGTTCGTGAGGAAATTTAAAAAGCAGACAACAGATGCACTTAAAAAAAAAAAAAAACCTCAAGAATTATGAAAATCTAAGACCTTTGCTGTCTTCTGCAGCAGCTAAGTGGAGATAAGGGAAGCTTACCCACGATGTCACTGGTAACCCAAAAGGAGGCTACCTTCTACTGTGCCTTCTCTCTCACATTCATTCAATACACATTTTCCAGGCAGTCCCATTAGGCACTGATTAAGGGAAAGAAGCTTCTCCAATACACAGGAAGCTTGTTCAACTGTGTGAGGTACTGTTTTAAGTCTGCTGCTGCTTCCAAACCCATCAAGGACTGGGTCCCCCTGCATGCACACAGAGGGACTGGAGTGGCCAATTCCAGCCCCCTGCTTGGAAGGTGTCAGCCCTCCTACTCTGAATCTTGTGATGCTCTGTTGGCCAAGCCTCCCTGCATACTGCACATTTTTAAAGATCAGACAGTTTAACCAAGGTTGAAGAAGAAATGTCAATTTCTGGAAATAAAAATTACCTTTCATCCAGAGCCAAGTCTGTGAGCAGTGCCATAGCTGAGTTGGCCTCCTTATCTGAGAAATCAAGAAATGACACCAGGGCTTCCAACAATCTGCAAAAATCCACAACAACCTCAGAGTGGGCTGTCCTCCAGCTGACAGCATCCCGACAAAGAGACCTTGCAAAGACACCGGGAAAGAATCTGCATCTGGGTCAAAGAAGCTGAAAGGGTGGCCTTGCTCTGTCCTCCTAGGAAGCCCATCTCCCTGCCCACCCCAGAGACAGAGACAACCTCCTGTGGGGATGACTCTGCCACTCAATGTTAATTCCCAGAGGGTAGAACAGTTTTAACCAAAGTTCATTGACTATCAGATGTCAAGTAGGAAGGAATCTCTAGTGCCTCTGCCATGTGACTGGCTCAGCCAAGTTCAATCACATAAGTGACATCTAAGTGGCATGCTTACTAATCTGCTGATGACTATAGTGGGAGAGAGGGCCCCCTAATGAGGGGAGGATGGAATACGGTTTTAACAAGATTTTGACAGGCTGCCGAATATGTCAGATGAAATTTAATAGGGTTAAATTCAAAGTCCTCCACTTACAGCTGGAAGTTCTATATAAACAATAAAATTGGGAGACCTAGTTTATACCTTGTTCCTATGGAAAAGATTTAAGGGTTTTCAGCCAATTGCAGACCTAGTATGAGCAAACAGTTGCCCAAAAAAGCTAATGCAATCTTAGGCTACCCTAACAGACTGACTGGCATCATTTGTCTGTCCAGCCAACCTGTACCAAGCACCTACAGTGTGCTGAGTGCTGTGCTTGGTACAGGGGTACAGTACTAGGCTCCTGGTCCCCTACAGTGACACACGTGTTAGGTGGTATGTTAGAAATGGATGCATGTCAAGTGTGCACAATGTCTACCTGGTGTCAGGTATGGGAGGACGGAGATAAAGAAGGCTTTAAAAAGTGGATGACACGTTAGCTGTCACTTGAAAGTACAGTGTTCACTTTTGTTTGTTCATTCAAGCAACAGTATTTACTAAGTGCCAGGCAACGTGGTGGATTCTGGGGCCACAGCAATGAAACAGGACAATGTCTCCCTCAGCTCCAAGGAGCTTGCAGGCCAGTGTCGGGCAACATGGGGGCAGGAGCAGAGCCCCTCAAACAGAGTACACAGCATTCACAAAGATGAGGAGGCATAAAATAGCTGGGGCACACTTGGGGACGGCTAGCAGTTCCTTAGACCTACTGCTCAGGTCTTGAGGAGAGGACAGTGTGCAGCAAGGGGAGGGTGCTAGACCTTCTATGGCCTGCTGGAAAATTGTACTTCACCCCACATGCCTGTTTTCCCAAGTGTGGTGGTGTATGTAGGGGGAAGCAGCTTCTAGGGTGCCCCAGTTTTTGGCAGAGGCTGCATTTTAGTGACCTCACCAGGTAATTCCTAGGCCCTGGATTTCTCAGTGTTGGAGAATTAGTGCTATAGGCAGTAGAGAGTTATTTTGGAGTTTGAAGTAGGAAAATCACAGAAAGGATGTAGATGGTAGACAAATCCCTTTGGTGGGATGGTGGAGGCTACATTGAAGTAGAAGTACAAGAGGCAGGGAATCCAACTGGGGAAGAAATGGGATGGTCCAGACAATAAAGATGGAGTGACTCGCTGAGGCAGGGGTGGAGTGAGACACACACAGTTGGGAAGAGAGAGGCCCCTGTGGAGGCCTGGAAGGGGTGGTCACAGATGCCTGAGGAGAGCCATAAGGAAGGGGATCCAGAACCTAAGAAGGGAGAGGTGACAATATACCCTCTTCCTACAGATGTAGGGGCCCACCCAGAGAAGCCCTCAGGATTCTGGCGTATGCAACTCGAGGGATGGAAGTACTACCCACGAAGGCAAGAAGTTCAGGCAAAGGGTCTGGTTTGAAGAACCACCTGTGGTTTAAGTTAGTGATGCTTGTGACATTGAGATGGACATGTCCAATAGCAGGGGAAGTTTTCTTCTACCACTCAAGAGAGGGACTTCCACATGATCATTAAAACCATGGATGAGAAGATGTTCAGGAGTAGGATCCTGGACTTGGAAGGGTGACAGCATAAGGGGAGTTTGCAAAGGAAGCCAAGAAGGAAGGGCCTAGGGTAGGAGGAGGTCCAGGAGGGTCAGTGTCCTGACAGCCACACTGTGGAGTTTCATGAAGACTGGCAGCGATCCACAGGACCCAATGCCACTGGGCAGCTAACAACAGAGACAGGGAAGGGACCATCAGATTGGCAGTTTAGGAGTGGACTCCAGTCACTCACATCTATGCTACTAGATTTATTTGGCAGCTTGTTCTGGGAGGGGTCTGGAGGTCAAATCATCTGAAGAATGGTCCAGGAAACCCGGATGCTTAACCTGGAAAAGATGAGGATCTTCAGATGCTGCTAGCACGGGAACGTGCGAGCTCTGACGTATTCCGGAGGCCTTCAAGAGACTGAAGCAAAGCCTCCACATAGGAAGCATAGAATGGGGCATACAATTCGTGTCTGGTGTAAAGATATAACTTTCTATCAATCAGAACTTGCCCAGGACAGGATGAGCTGCCCTGGGAGGTAAGACCTGCATCCTTTCACTGGCTGGGAATAGGGTCACAGTCTATTAGCTGTTATAGTGTCTATTGTAATCAAACGTAGAAAAATGATAATGCTGGAATCTTCCCTGGAGGGCATTGTGCCCAGGCCATAGTAGGGTACCCCCAAGGGGACATAGGCACTGGGGGGGGGGGCAGAGCTGGACAGTTTCTGTGGTCCTGGGTAACTCCAAGCTTCTGCAAACCCCCAGTTCCTTAGAGGTGTGTTCTACTGTCCCTGTCACCAGAAATCATGTATTTTGCTATTACTTCAGATTCTTCCTTTACCAATTCAATCTGTTTTCTTGAAGATGAACTCTAATGAACCAGAAATGTACAGAAGAGGAGCTGGCAGTCTTAGATCATCTTGATTTTTGTCTTACGAGACATGAACAACAAAGCTTCCTCTCCATGTGGAAAAGCACACATTCTAACTGGAGTTATTACCCAAAGAGGGACAGGGTGTCCCTTTCTACTCCCTCTTGTTTCCTTTCTCGATGGCAAATTTTCTGCTCTGCTGACAAACAGCTGTCCCTGTAGATGGACCACAGGTCAGAAAATGCTCTAGTGACCCAACATATGAACTTCCACCTCAGTTTAGAACTCTGAGCAATAGACCCTGAAGATAGAAAATGAAAACGATTATAAAAGTTACTGAGTCGACACCACGTGTCAGACGCTGTTTGCTGGCCAATCCCACAGACACATAGCCAGTCCCCTTTTATCCCACCTGACTCTACAACAGAAGCTGGAACCACTTTCCTCACCAGGGGTGGCATGTGACACAATCTTGACCAAACAGAAATAAGCAGTAGCTTCTCTTGATAAGAGGGACAGATCCAGCTGATGTCTGAAAGAGGGAGGTGATACATGGAGCTGCAGCAGCCTTGTGAGACCATGAGGGGACGATCAAGAGAGGGACAGAGACCTTGACCCCGATATCTTTAAGCCCCTGAACTAGCTGTGGTCAACTGTAGTCTTTTTTAAAGTTATGTGAGACAAGCAAGACCAGCTCTTCCTGATCAAGTGTTCTGTAAAATCTAACAGAAAACATGTAATCGGCACACACGTTTCACTTCTTCTAAGCTTCATCAAGAGTCTGTGATACAGATGAGACACCGGAGCTCATCAAGGTTAGCGGCTTTCCTGAGCCATGTACATAGGAAGCAAGCAGAGGATTTGGGCTCATGGCTGCTTGAATCAAAAAACCCAGCACTTTCCAGAAAGTGATATTGACTGTCGCTTGGTTCCTGTCAGTACACATTTGTCCCTTCGACTTCTCATAAGGGGAAAAGCATTTTAAGAGGCATGTGACACATGTGCCTCTCTTGTCCAAACCATCTCCCTTCACTTCAGAGAACACATTCTACCTCTTTCTGGTTTAAGCTGAGATGGACATTAATGAGAACAGTGGGCACGAAGGGAATCAGCTGAGGTGTCTCTGACAGTCTGGAGACAAGAGGTGGGGCTGCATATGATGCTCATAAATGCCACTCTCCAACACTCTGGAAAAATTCAAATTAAAGCTCAAGCAATTCAAAGACAGTCAGGATTGGGGGTGGGGGGTGGGGGTGGAGGCAGCTGAGGACAGATATAGCTACATTTACTCAGAGAGACCAAAACCAAGTGAAAAACCACGAGGAAGGCATCGAGGAAGTGATGGCAGTCATCTGAAATGTGAAATGTGCTTTTGAGGATTTAACTCTAACAACCCATCTGCTTATGGGGGCTGAGCTTCGGGGGGTTGCCAAGCCTGTTTGTGAGCCACAGGGGCCGTGGCAGGGCTGAGAATGTGAGGGCCACAGCAGACACCCCATCCTGAGCATGATGGACACCCCCCCCCCCCCGATGTGGGATGGGTGCCGGAGGCCTCCGCTTGGTCAGGAAATATCTAACAGGATCTCAGATTTGGCTGCTTTTCTTACTGGGAACAGAAGCAGGAGCTGGCCTTCAGGGCCTGGGGGACAGTGGGGTGAGATGCTCTGGTTAAGTGCTGCAGCTTCTCCTGCTCCATCTGTGAAATGGGGTCATGACACTTATCTTGCCTCTTCGCAGGCTGGGAGGAGATCAAGTGAGGTAATGGTGGAAGAATCAGAAGCCAACTTCTGTTTTTAGGTTGTGTACGAAACACGTATAAAGCAAGCTGTGATCACTGCTACTACTTTTACTGCGTTGAACCACCGAAACTGCCAACATGCAGCTCTTTTGATATAAAAACTGGTATTTTCACATATGGAAACTAATAATGTTTCACCTGAAAAAGCACTGGAAGGAATCACTGGGGTTTGGTAAATTTTTCATAAAGTCTATTCAGAAGAAAAGGCATGTTCTGTTTCCTTGGCTGTAAGCCTCGGAAAGACCTACATGCAAGAGCATCCCAGATGTGTTTTATTTATTTGTACTCTGCCTGGCTTTACGAATATGCCAAAGCAGGGAGTGTCACCTCAACCAGGAAGGAAAGAAGAAAACTTTGAGCAGAAAGAGGGTAGAGCCAGCACAGAGGCTAAAGAGGCAGGAGCAAATGACCTATTTTGAAGCCGGATTCCCAGTCTGGTTTTGGTAGGGCTGCCATTTATACCATCTGTAGTATCTGTGAGGTGGAAACAGGTCAGAGAAGTGAAACTGCCCTCAGGTATCAAGTTCAGCCAGGAGTTCATCCCAGAGGTCCTCCAGAAGGCGTGCTCCTCCTTCCAAAGGCTCTTTCTGGTTTTGACCCTTTATAAAGCCTGACAGCGCCTCTCCTGTCCGAGGTCTCCTGTCCGAGGTGTGGGAAGGGGTACGGGCAAATCTTAACTTAGCAGGGGGTGCTCCAAGAAGCCCTGGAGAAGATCCCACCAGCAGAGTCCTACCGGGTCAGGTCAAGGTGGCTGATGACCAGGCTCCGTCCATAGTCCGTCTGGGTGAGCTGCAGCAGCAGGGCAAAGCTCTGCTGGCGGACGGTCAGCAGCTTGGTGGCCAGCAAGGAGGGCAGCAGCCTGCCCAGGTTGGGACACAGGAGCAGCAGGCGCTGGTTCTCCTCTGCAAGACAGGGGATGAGTGCCTTGAGCACGCAACAGTGGCTAAACCTCTTGTCTCCCACGAGCCCTATGGGAAATCCAACTCTTCTCTCCTTGTTTGAGAGGCAGAGTAAGAAAGTGTCTGAGCATGAGCTCTAGGAGCGGGTTGCTGGGTCCTGACGACCGGGTGGATGGTCGCGGCTGAGTCATGAACTCCTGGCTTCCTTCTGAGTGAAATGGGGAAGGCGGCTCATGTAGCCACGTGGTGAGCAGGGTTCAGTGAGTGAGTGGAGGATGGCGCTGGGAACAGGGGCTGGTACACATGGGGACCAAGTGGCATCAACTTTGTCAAAGGTGTGTGGGATTGTGAAGGGACCGAAATCAGCTGAACTGTGGACACTTGTGGATCATCTATTTTCATACACTGGCCAGAGCAACCACTTGAGTTCTTTCTAGAAAACTAGAAATCACGTGAGAACGTGCACTAATGGAGCATCCCCCCTTCCTAGATGTAGGCTACTTCCAAGGTAGTGGCACCAGCTCTGTTCGCTCTCACCTGGTTCATTGACTAACCAGGTGCCCAAATGTGTTTGAGAGGATGCAGAGAGATGGGCTGGGGCAGGAGGCTCAGCCATGAAAGAGAGCGGCGTTGGTGTAGCCAATAGGTTTTCTTCTTTGTTGGAAAAGGAGCTTGTTGTAAACAATCCAAATAGTACAGCAGCATAAAGCTGACAGTGAACGTCCCCTCCTCTCGTGGCCCCTCCAGGTAAGCTCATTCCTTAAAGGAGCTATCCATGCCTCTCCTGTGAATAATGTTAAAAATATGATCCACCCGGTGCCTGGGTGGCTCAGGAGGTTAAGCGTCTGCCTTGGGCTCGATCATGATCTCAGGGTCCTCGGATCCAGCCCCACATCAGGCTCTCTGCTCAGCAGGGAGTCTGCTTCTCCCTCTCCCTCTGCTCATGCTCCTGATCTGTCTCTCTCTCTCTCTAACAAATAAAATCTTAAAAAAAAAAAAAGTACGATCCACTCTGCCCTCTCATTGGCCTCTCTCTCCTACTTAACAGCATATCATGGATGTAGTTCTGCATCTGTAACTTTTTTTTTTAAGATTTTATTTATTTATGAGAGAGAGAGAGAGATTGAGAGAGAGAGAGGCAGAGACACAGGCAGAGGGAGAAGCAGGCTCCATGCAGGGAGCCCGACATGGGACTCGATCCTGGGTCTCCAGGATCACACCCTGGGCTGAAGGCAGCACTAAAATGCTGAGCCATCAGATGCCCTGCATCTGTAACTTTATAAGCATCCATCCCCTCGTCATTTTGAAAAACGTGTTTGTATTTACTGAGTTGGATATATACAGATTTCATGGATCTTCCAGAGCAGGTGCGTCACAGGCTCTACAAACAAACCACATTTATTCTGCTGTTAAAGAAAAACGCGACCCCAAAGTTTACAGAAACTGAGGTCAGCGCAGGCTGAGGAAATCAGGGCTTGAGGGAGGGAGGGCTGTGTCTGGTTCACCCTGAGTAAAACAGGGTCACCAAGCCCTGCTTCCCTCACCCTGGTGTGGGGGATGTGCGAGACCACCCCCCGGGCCAGTGTAGAAACCCACGGAGCAGCAGGGCACCTTGGTGATGGTACTCGTCCAGGCATAATTCCCTTCACAAGGGGTCCCCCTGCTTTGCTAGTCCTCTACAACTTAGGGTGACTCCTTCACTCTACTGTATTAGCTCATACTCAGCCTGGGAATTTACAAATTGCCCCCCACAAGCTCTGTAGCTGGTTTCCCACAGGAGCCCTGTGAAAAGGAGACACAAACGGCATCATTCCCATGCTCAGTGTCTGCAATCCAAGCTCGGGTCATTCCCTATGAAAACACGGCTTTTTAAAAATGAGGTAGAGCACTCGGTGTTACACTATAGGTTGGCAAATTGAATTTAAATAAAATAAATTTTAAAAAATAAAAAATAATAAAATAATTTTTTAAAAAATGAGGGAAATACAATTTTCATTTACATTCACTGCTTTACAAAAGGGGTAAGAGAGATTGTGCAAAAATGTAGCAAACCCCCAAAATGCCAAGAGGTAAGAAGATAAATGTGTTAACAAGGTGGACAAAAGTCCTATAGCGTCCGCTGGCCTAGTATTACACTGATCGGTGTCATACTATCAGGGACCAGGGCAAATCTCGCGACGCTGGGGGTACTGTGGTCAGCAAAAAGCAACAATATTTTAGGTGGACAGGAAAGGAACAGGTCTGTCCACTGCACTGCCGAGGTGCGAGCAGAAGTCACGGGTCTGTAGAGCGGCAGGTGGTGAGAACGCCCGTTATGCTGCCGGTGACTCTGTCCACCATCAAGGTGACTGCAGGGGTGGCAGAGAGAGGACTGCAGGGCTGGCAGGGGAAGGTCTGGCTCCCTCGGGCCTGGCCTGAGGGGAAACAGTCACGCCTGGGCCCCGAGTGCTGCATCAACAGAGAGCATGTTAACAAGGACCAACAGGGATGACCCAGGCTCACCGTTCCCGCTGCACACCGCCTGCCAGAGCCTGAGGACAGACACGCACACCGTCTCTCCCACCACATCTTTTCCTGCCGTGGAAAAGCACCTAGAACAAAGGACAGCAACAGTAAGACTGGGAAGCAGTCTTGATCTTCTGTTTGGTTGGCTTTAGCTCCTCAAATGCTGGTTGAAGAAAGTAACATTATAACTCAGAGCTGCAGGTCATCAGGACGGTGGGCTGGCCAGCACTGGACTGGGACCCCTGGGACAGGGACAGGCCGAGGAGTTGGGGCTGCACGGACGGGGCTGCTGAGCCAGGGCCCTGGGCCACAGCCACGCGGTGACCGATGAACTGTGGCAGGCCAGCAGCCTCAGCTCCTGGGCTCCTGGTGACCCCGGCCCGTGTCACTGTCCTTCTAACCTGAGGAGCTGCACTCAAACAACTGAAATACAAAAATAAAATAAAAACAAATGTAGTAAACCACCTCCTTTCCTTCCATATGGGTCTCTCTTCAGATAAAATCAGAAATCTTGGGATCAGCCAGGACCCAGTAGATCTCATTTATTGCTGTTATCAGCAAATTCTAAGAACAAATGGCAATCTCACCAAAACTGTGGGAAAGCAGAACACACGGTCACTCCTCTGGCTCTGCAGGGCCTGGAGGAGCCCTGGAAGCACCGCTGACCTTTTCTCTCTGCGGTTGCTACCTGTGGCCTCACTCAGACTACCCGGGGTACACGGCCCTGCACCCGGCCAGGCCCACCCAGGGAAGCCACTGCCCGCGTCATCAGGGATGTCACGAGAAATTGGTCATCCCTCCTTGCTTTACTTTACTGTTGGCTCTCTCTACAAACACCCTACCTTCTTACGACCTCATTCTCACTGATGATACTGAATCCGTTGTGTGTTCTGAATAAAGTCTGTTCTGTGCCTGGGAAGAAATCATAAAAACCTGCCTCAGAGTCCTGAACAGTCTGGTTGCTGTCTAGCCATTAACAGAGCCAGCTGATGGTGAGAAACCCAATATGGAATGTCAAGGTCACCGATTAACAGATTGGGCAGAAACAAATACCTCTACGTTCTGAAACCTGCAGCTGTCACAGGCCACTTATTGCCCCCAAGAGAGGAACATCCTGTCTAGAGAAGGGAAGCTGAGCCTGGGGGGGCCTTGTGGGTTATATGACAACTCATTGTTTTGTAATCTTCAGAGAGTCTCCAGGAGCTGCTTAACCTCTGGGAAGAACTAGCATATCCATCTGTTCTTAAATATTTATTTTGAAGCTGTTTCTAGGCTCTGGAGAGGAACCTATAATCTCCAAGAAACAATTGAAGGGGATATCTGAGTGCCTTCATCGTGCACTGAAGGGAGGTCAGAGAGCCCATCTCTTTGTACAAACAGCATCCTGTCACTGAGTAAAAAAGCGGTTTAAGCCCTGATAGCAATGTTTACAAGAACCGGTAAGAGAGAACAGTAACGGCTCTCACTAGCAGGGGAGCTGATGTTTGCTCTGAGACTACTTACAGGCTCTAAAAAGCCATTAAATGTAACTGGAGTGAACTTTATAGTTTATCGTACAAAACTCTGTCTTCCACCCCCCTATGGTTGGGGGCAGATTTGTGAGGGTGGTATGTGGCATTTGGGGCATACATGGGGTACGCATGGAAACCCAAAAGGTGTGAGGGTATGTGTACAATGTGTGGGGCATGTGGGAGAGATGATCATGTGTGGTGTGGGGTATATATATGTGGTGTGTGTGTATGTGTGTATTATTTGTGTTGTATTGTGTTTGGGGTGTCTACTGCATATGTGCTGAGTGCATGTGTGCTCTAGCTGGGGTGCGGGTATGTATCTTACGTGTCCTGTTTCATCCTGACAGTATAGTAGATCTTCACTATTTGTGGAAGGAAGGGACATAGGGATTCTTTGCCTCATCTGGGCTGACCTCTCTACTGTCCCTTTACACTGACTATATTCACAAGGCCAGGCCATATGCATCCCAGGCTTACAATCCTTCATCATCTCAGTCAGGATTTCAATCCCCCCTGCATAGAACAAAGGGTTCTGGTCAGGCTTGCAAAGAGTTTCCAGGAGATTCTTGACTGTCACAGCTGCATGCTTTCCTGAATCCAGCAATCGTTGGGCTTCCTTCTCTTGAAGGTCTGCTTTCTCCTGGAGATTGACTTGATTCAGAGAATCTATAAAACAAGAAAGAAGAGAAGAGAAACAAACAAAACCCTCACAGTCAACATCAACACAAAGAGTAACCTCCTCTGAGGATGGGAGGTCAAGAGGCATGAAGCATTAAAATCATTCAAACCTGGCCTCAGCAGGGAAAATTTGAGGAAGGGTGTTCAGTCTAGATCCAGAATTTTAAACCACCTCTGGGGTTCAAGGACAGCATTATGCTCTGCCTAGAAGGCTCTAAGGGACGAAGGTGTAGAAAGGAGGAAGGCAAAGGTCTGAGTGGGAGAACAGAGAGGAGAGAGGAGCGGGCCACCTGCTAACAGAGAGGGATTGATGTGGCTTTGAGGCCAAGTGCAGAGAAGGCACACGAGGCGCCGTGGAGCCAGAGTGCAAAGTGAAAGTGGGATTCAAATGAAGGACACCAGCAGGAATATTACTCAGCCATTAGAAACGACAAATACCCACCATTTGCTTCAACGTGGATGGAACTGGAGGGTATTATGCTGAGTGAAGTAAGTCAATCGGAGAAGGACAAACAGTGTATGTTCTCACTCATTTGGGGAATACGAATAATAGTGAAGGGGAATATAAGGGAAGGGAGAAGAAATGTGTGGGAGATATCAGAAAGGGACACAGAACATAAAGACTCCTAACTCTGGGAAATGAACTAGGGGTGGTGGAAGGGGAGGAGGGCGGGGGGTGGGGGTGAATGGGTGACGGGCACGGATGGGGACACTTGACGGGATGAGCACTGGGTGTTATTCTGTATGTTGGTAAATTGAACACCAATAAAAATTAATTTATAAAAAAAAAAAAAAAAAAGGACACCAGCAGGAACAGCCTCACCTTTCACCTGGGTTTGCAGCTTGGGGCTTATTTCTAAGATCTTCTGATAACACTCTCTGGACTGCAAAAAAAAAAAAACACAAGACCTTGAAGAGTGGTCAGGGGGTAAAGTTGATTATAAGAAAGACACCGGGTACCACAGGGCTGGGCTTCATTATTTCCTCCCGGCCTCCTCCTGCTCCCAGCATAGGAGGCAGGCATGGGGAAACACAGCATGCATTTGACATTTTGTTTAGGCTTCTCTGGTTCTGTGGGACAAAAGGTATTATTTCAGAATTTATGTAAAAAAAAAAAAACCATGTTGTCAGATCCAGCCTGTGGTGGAAAAATATCCAGTCCTAGGGACCCCTGGGTGGCTCAGTGGTTGAGAGTCTGCCTTTGGCTCAGGGCATGATCCCAGTGTCCTGGGATTGAGTCCCACATTGGGCTTCCTGCATGGAGCCTGCTTCTCACTCTGCTTATGTCCCTGCTTCTCTCTCTGTGTGTGTCTTTCATGAATGGATGAATGAATGAATGAATGAATGAATAAATAAATAAATAAAATCTTTAAAAAAAAAAAAAGAAAAAGAAAAATATCCAGTCCTAAATTCTCGTGGATCATGCCTGGCCGGGATAGGAATAATTGTAAGGTAATTATAAAATTTAGATAGGATATTTGCACCGAGACAGAACAGGAGGCTACTTGTCAGATATGCCCACAAGGAATAAGGAAATAAATGAAGCTGGAGACACTGCTGACAGAGCCTTTTGGGAGTAGGAAAAGGGAAGTGCCTATTTAAATACACAGGGCTGCAAAGGGAGCCAGTAGGGGTGTCCATTCACTGGCCATATAAGACTTGTAAGAAAACTTAAGAGTGATGTACTCTCCATGAGGAAATTGTTAGGAAGTTTCTGGGGAAAAAAAAAAAAAGATTCCAGTTTGTAGGACATGTGACTGGGCTTAGGGCAGTATTGTCCTCAGGGGTATTAAGAACTCTGCCCAGTCTAAGGAAAAAGTACAGAAAACAAATGGCTCTGAGCTATCTTGAAAGCTCAAGGTTCATCTAGAAAATTAGGATTAAATGAACTGAAGAAAAAAACATCACATTAAAACAGAATAGTGTTGTGGGACAGAAGTTTACTCATCAAACATGGTAACTGCTATAGATTGTGTCCCCCCCAAATTCCTATGTGGAAACCTAACCCCCAATGTGATGTACTTGGAGGTAGGGCCTCTGGGAGGTGATTAGGTCATCAGGGTGGAGCCCTCCTGAGATTTGTGTCCTTGTCAAAGAGACCCCAGGGACCTCTCTTAACCCTCTGGCTGTCTCTGAACCAGGAAGTAGTTCTCACCACACACCAATCTGCTGGTGTCTTGATCTCAGACTTTCCAGCCTCCAGAACTGTGAGAACTAAATGTTTGCTGTTTAAACCACCTGGTCTCTGGTAGTCCTGACAGTGACCCAAGGAGACGAGGACAGTGAACCTGTATCCAACTTCTTCTGAACCCTAGATTGAGTCTCCTGGCAACTCCTGTTGGCTTCACTGTCAGCATGTTCAGAGTCCCATCATTTCTCACCACCTCCCTTGACACCAACCTAGTTCAAGTCATCATTATACTTCTCTTGGAGAGTCTATTACAATAGCCTTCTGGATAGCTCTCTGTTCTTTGTTTCCTATGTCAAGATATATTCTCAGTGCAACAGCAATCTTTTAAAATATCAGTCCCATCATTTCACTCCTTCGCTCAAAACTCTCCAATGGCAAACCCAAAGCTCTTCCAAAAGCCTGTAACCACGTCACCTACCTGACCTCATCTGCCTATCACTCTTCTCCAGCTGACCCTCACTGGACCCCAGCTCCTCCCTTACACAGACACATGGCTTGCTCACTTCACTCCCTCCCTTCCTACAGAAAGGTCCTCCCTGACCACTCCATATAAAGTCAATCTCACCTTCGCTGCTTCACTGATTACACTTTCTCAATAACACATCACTATCCAACATAATACACATCTACTTATGTGGTTTCCATCTCCTGGCCACCCTATTCCAAGAACGTGACTTCCATTAAGTCAAGGATTTTGTCGTTTGCCACTGTATTCCTATTGTCTAGGGCAGTGCCAGGAACCTAGAAATTATGCATACATATATGCTGAGTGAATTAATTACCTGAATGAATGAATGAATGAATGAGTGAATAGAATTTGGTGGAGAGGGGAGCGTTAACATTTTTTTTAACTCTTCTATTATTTGACCCTAGTTATGATAAGCCTGTATTAGAATTATAATACAACAAAGAATTTTTAAATGTATAATAAGAGGCAATTTCTTCTTAAAAATATAGTATCTTATAAGTGGAAATAAATATAGTATCTATATTATGTAATATAGTATAAAATATTAAAAATATAGTATCTTATAAAATATATAAAATATTAAATATTAAAAATAATATATATAAAATTACAGTATATACAAATATAGTATCTTATAAAAGAACTAAAAGCATTAAATATAGTATCTTATAAATGAAAATGCATGTTCATGGATTAGAAAACTTAGTATTGTTAAGATGGCAATACTCCTCAAATTGACCTACAGATTTAATGTAATCCCCATCAAAATTCCACCTGGCTTCTTTGCAGAAATTCACAAACTGATCCTAAATTTGTATGGTAATTCAAGAGACATACAATAACTAAAACAATCTTCAAAAAGTAGAGCAAAGTTAGAAGAGTCACACTTCCCAATTTCAAAATTTACTGCAAAGCTATAGGAATCAGGACAATGTGGTATAGGCATAAGACTAGACATATAGATCAATGGAATAAAATTGAGAGCCCAGGAATAAACCCATGAAGTTATGATCAACTGATTTTTGAGAACGGTCCAAAATTATTCAGTGGGATACAGAATAGTCTTTTTAACAAATGATGCTGTGAACACTGGAAATCTATGTGTGAAAGAATAAAATTACATCCCTTCCTCACACCATTTGCAAAAATTAACTCAAAGTGAATCAGACATCTAAACATAAAATCCAAAGCCACAAAACAGAAGAAAACACAGAAGTAAATCTTGGATTAGGCAATGGTTTCTTAGATATGACACCAAAAGCATAAGCAATCAAAGGAAAAAATAAATAATTTAGGCTACATCTAAATTAAAAAAATTTTTGTCCTATAAGGGACACAATTAAGAAAGTAAAAGGGCAACACAGAGAGTGAGGGAAAATATTTGAAAATCACTTATCTAATAAGGGACTTGTATCCAGAACATATGAAGCACTGTTTACTTCATATAAAAATGCAAATACCTAATAAAAAATAGGCAAAGGATCTGAAGAGACATTTCTCCAAAGAAGATATACAGGCAACCAACAAGGACATGAAAACAGACTCAGCATCACTAGCCATCAAAGAAATGCAAATCAAAACGAGTTACACTTCATACCCACTAGGATGGCTATAACCAAGAAGAGATAATAAGGACTATCGCCCAGGATGTGGAGAAACTGAAGCCACATACTGCTGGTGGGCATGTAAAATGGTGCCACCACTTGGGAAACGCTTTGGCAGTTCCTCCCAACGGTAAACATGGAGTTTTCACAGGACTCAGCAGTTCCACTCCTAGGTAAATACTCAAGAGGACTGTACATGTATGTCCATACAAAAACTTGTACATTGTTGATAAAGCCTTGAGTGGAAACCACCCAAATGCTCATCAACTGAGGAAGGGATAAATAAAATGTAGTTTATCCATACAACAGAATATTTTTCAGCAATAAAAGGAATGAAGTACTGATGCCACAACATGCACGACCCCTAAAAACATTATGCTAAGGGAAAGAGGCCACCACAAAAGACTATATCCTGTATAAGTCTATTTATATGAAGAGTCTAGAATGTGCAAATGTATAGAGACAAAAATAGATGAGTGGGTACATCAGGTAGAGGGAAGCGGAGTACTACTAAAAAGCATAGGGCTTTTAGGGAGGTGACAAAAATGTTCTAAAGCTGAGTGTGGTGACGGTTGCACATCTCTGAGAATGTGCACAAACCCACTGAATTGTATACTTGCCACAGATGAACTGTTTGGCATGCGAATTCTATCTCAATCAAGCTACTATTAACAATAATATAATATCTTAGTATGTAAATATAGCTGCATAGTCACTTTTGGGAGATGAGATTATAAGTGAATTTTCTTTATGCCTTTTGGTTTATACTTTTTCTCTCCAGAGATGCTCCTCCTGGGGCCGAGAGAACACTGGTAGCAGATACTGCAGCAGGGATTCCCAGAGGCTGTCCTGGTGACACTCACATTCCTTCCCAACTCAAAGATCTTAAGGGTTACCTTGGAAAATACTAAAAGGTGGATTACTATCAACTTGGAGGAACATGGTCCTTCTCTGAGGCAACATGAAGCATCGTTCTGTGATCAAACATGCCCCTTCCATTCCTCTAAGAACTTACCACGTTGTAGTTCTTCAGGGCCAGGTGGGCTTTTCCCATGTGGAAATATGCTTTTGTGCATTTTTCATCACACTGCATAAAAGAGAATGACTGATCAGATGAGTTCAGAAGGTCTGAAGTCATTAGCCACTCCCTTAACTGCCTAGCTAATAGAGGCAAGGCAGCGCTTTGGTTCTCAGGACAGCTACCAGAGTTGACAATTAGAACTTTTATGTGCATCTGTGACCAAACTAATTGATGCCTGCAAGGAGCCTGGATGCACAAGTAAGCTCTCTATCAAATTAATTAATGAGACTTGCCAGTTTTCATTTCCATTTAATGAGACTCACTCAGGAGACAAACCAGAAACCCCTAGTTTAGGAGAGCTCTTGACTTTGCCCAAACATGAGAATCACTGGGGATGCTTATCAAAATCTGGAAGGCCAGGCTGAACTCCATACCAATTAAAAAATGATAATCTCGGGTAGGGCCCAGGCACCAATCATTTTGTAAGCTCTTCAGGTGACATAAGCATGCAGCCAAGCTTGAGGACCACTGGTTTATTAGACAAGACAGATATCTACTCTGGATAAACTGCTGAGGCTACTGTGACATCGTAGCAGGCCTGACAAGCTCCTCTCCTGAAATCAACCACACAGTATATCCCAGAAACTCATGTACGTGTCACTTAGGATCAGGAGGGATGCCCCCTTCAGAAGGCAGGATCCAAACTTATGTGAGGCCACGGCCTTTGCACAGGGGACCCTGCACCTGCCTGCCCCTAATTATTACAACTCCAGGGGCAATGACGTGGCACAAAGATGCCAACTACCACTTCTAACATCCAGTTAATTAATTGAACCCTTTTCTGAGTGAGGCATTGTGCCAGGGATGCCCTCCAAGGGTCTAGATTTAAAGATGTTAAGAGTGCAAGCTTAGGTATCTAGAAGTCCTGGGGGAATCCCTAGCCTGCTTCTCATCAGAAGTGGGATGTTATAACTTCTTGCAAGATATATCCATGAAGGCAAGAGAAACAAAAGCACAAAAGAACTATTGGGACTTCATCAAGATAAGCTTCTGCACAGCAAGAGATACAGTCAACAAAACTCAAAGACAACCTACAGAATGGGAGAAGATATTTGCAAATAACATATCAGATAAAGGGCTAGTTTCCAAAATCTATAAAGAACTTATTAAACTCAACAGCAAAGAAACAAACAATCCAATCATGAAAAGGGCAAAAGACATGAACAGAAATCTCACCGAGGAAGACATAGACATGGCCAACACGCACATGAGAAAATGCTCCACATCACTTGCCATCAGGGAAATACAAATCAAAACCACAATGAGATACCACCTCACACCAGTGAGAATGGGGAAAATTAACAAGGCAGGAAACAACAAATGTTTGAGAGGATGCGGAGAAAAGGGAACCCTCTTACACTGTTGGTGGGAATGTGAACTGGTGCAGCCACTCTGGAAAACTGTGTGGAGGTTCCTCAAAGAGTTAAAAATAGACCTGCCCTACGACCCAGCAATTGTACTGTTGGGGATTTACCCCAAAGATACAGATGCAGTGAAACGCCGGGACACCTGCACCCCGATGTTTCTAGCAATGTCCACAATAGCCAAACTGTGGAAGGAGCCTCAGTGTCCATCGAAAGATGAATGGATAAAGAAGATGTGGTTTATGTATACAATGGAATATTCCTCAGCCATTAGAAACGGCAAATGCTTTGACATGGATGGAACTGGAGGGTATTATGCTGAGTGAAGTAAGTCAATCGGAGAAGGACAAACATTATATGGTCTCATTCATTTGGGGAATATAAAAAATAGTGAAAGGGAATAAAGGGGAAAGGAGAAAAAACGAGTGGGAAATATCAGAAAGGGAGACAGAACATGAGAGACTCCTAACTCTGGGAAATGAACTAGGGGTGGGGGAATGGGAGGTGGGCGGGGGGGTGGGGCTGACTGGGTGATGGGCACTGAGGGGGGCACTTGATGGGATGAGCACTGGGTGCTATTCTATATGTTGGCAAATTGAACACCAATAAAAAATAAATTTATAAATAAATAAAAGAAAAAGAAGTGGGATGTTGGCTAGAACAGCAGCAATCCATTTTAGACCAAAAGGGCAGATTGAAAAAAAAAAAAAAGCCACACAGTGATAGAAGAGGCAGTGATGATTGTCCCACGTGGAGAAGCCTTTTTTTTTTTTTTTTAAGATTTATTTATTCATGAGAGACACACAGAGAGAGGCAGAGACACAGGCAGAGGGAGAAGCGCGCTCCATGCAGGGAGCCTGATGCAGGACTCAATCCCGGGACTCCAGGATCACGCCCTGGGCCAAAGGCAGGCACCATACTACTGAGCCACTCAGGGATCCCTGGAAGACTTTTTTTTTTTTTTTTTTTTTGGAGAAGACTTTATAGGTGTATCTTCATGAGCGTTATTTCCTGACACGCTGCTAAGTGAATGGCAGTAATGACAATAACATATTACTGTCCAGTCTTTTCCAGGCAGTTCACGGGAACTATATCATATAAACTTTCTAACAACTCTGTGAAGTCAAGACAATCATTATCTCCATTGTACAGATGAGGAAACTAGGTGCTGGGGAGGTTCAAGGTCACACATAGTAAGTGGAAGAGCTGGGATCTAAAATCTGGCCATCTGACTCCAGGCCCCAAAGGCTTACAAATGACACCAACTCTCCTTCAGAAAAGTGCTACAACAGTTGAGTAGAGGGAAATCTACTCTGCAGAGGCAGGACCTAAAAAGATGGTGCAGAGTAGGGATTTGAGCTGGGTCTCCAAGGATATGGAGAGGTGAAGACAGAAGGAAGGAGGAGAATGGGCTGAGAGCAAGGTTCTAGGCTGAGGGGAGACAGGATGGGGAGCTTCTGGCCAGGACGAGGGGCAGGAGCAGGGCAGGGAAGGGCCAGGCTAGAAGGGTGAGCAAGACAGTGGTCCCCGCAGAATGAGGGGTTAGCATCTGTCTGGTGGTGGTGGGAGGGAAGTGCAGATGCCAGAGTAGGTCACAGACAAATGGTAAAGAGGGAGTAGGATGTCAGGTCACAGGTTTGGGGCTCAGGGCCTGGAAGACAGCATATGTCATTAACGGAAAGAAGTAAGTCAGGGCCAGGAATGGGGAAGGGTGAGGGGAGGATGAAGAGCCCGTTCCTAGACACAGCATCTTTCCAATGGTGCCCGGACGGTCACACAGAGGCCTCCGGGAGGTAGCTCGAGTACAGCCCTGTGGCCTGGGAAGGAGGAGATGGGGAAGGGGGTCTGAGGGCCAGCTGGACCCAGGAGAGGAGACAGGAGCTCTGAGCGAGAAGCTGCAGAAAGAAGGAAGGCAGGGAGCTAACCCTGGAGAATCCATGAAGGATGAGGCTGAGGGGGTGGGAAGGGAATGAGGGCCCGAGGGAAAAGAAACACCAGCAGTGTTCATGGAAGCCAGATGTCCACTCTCCCTTTGTTGGGCAGAGAATCGGGGTTATAACAGGGGGAGACTAAGCTGGGGCCCTCAGAGCCCTGTTCCTGCTATCATGCAGCATGGTGACCCTGCCCACCTGGGATGCAGATGTGGAGGGCCACTGACAGAGGTCTCACTGCTCCCCAATCTCCTCTGTCACCTGTGAGCGGTCACCAGCATTTTCTCAGGTGAGCCCCGGACTCCCTTAAAAGAAGCCCTGTTTTCAGAGAAAGATGGGAGTTTTGTCATGCAGAAAGAATCTGCCAAGAGAGAAATGACTCTGATCCTAATTGAAACCAGCTTCACCACCTTCTCTTCCCTGACAGAGAACATCAATCTTGAAATATCATCGGGTGAGCTTGTCTCTACCAATTCAAAAGTGTCAAAAATATTATATTGGCATGAAAGTATGAATATTAATGATGGAATATCACTGACATGCATTATTGGTGCATTACTTTTAAAGAGAGTGAAACTTTTACATTTATAGCTTTGACACAGACCCAATCATCGTTAATTTTAGAGCTCCTTATGCTTTTTCCCCAACCCCCACAAGGGGTTACCCGAGCCTCTTCAATGGGGAACCTCGCTGGGCATTTCACAACGGCTGCTGAGGGTCAGAGATGTTCACTGTCAGCTCTGTTGGGCCTACTCTGCTCTGGTTTCACTGCTAATTACATCCTGCTTCATTTAACATCTGGGAATAGGCCAGCGTGTTATCCTGAATCAGCATGATGATAGTGTGACTCCCTCTTTGGTGTTTTTCAGATCAGAACGGATACTCCTGGAAACCCCACCAGGAGATCCTGGTTCCTCCACTGAAGGGAACAAGGCCCACACTCAGGGATAGGGGGGTCTCAGGTTCCAGTGGAGAAGCTGTATATAGGAGATGATTCAGAGCACTGCCCTACAGACCGACACTACCTCTGTGATCCTGCACAGGTTAATTAATCTCCGAAGCTTGGTTTCCTTGCCAGAAAAAATGAGGATAACAGTAGTATCCAAGAGAAGAGAATAGGATGTCGTGAGCCTCATGGCCGGCATGCAGCAAATGGTGGCTTGTGTGATCATTGTTGGAATAACAGAGCAAAACACCCTTACCTCTCTCTTCTCTTACAGAATGGTGGTAGAGAAAATACCTTGATCACATAAAGTGAGGAGGCAGGCTGGGGGACTTATGCAGGGGCTGTGAAGAGCCTGATGTCATTAGTGTTGGGCAGTTCTTGTAACTTTAAGACTGTATCGACATGATGGGACAGGATTTGCTGACATGCTGTATCGGGATAAAGAAATCATGCATCCCACATGTCAGCTTTGGAGGATCTCTAGTGTTTTATAAAGAACAATAGTAAAGTGAGTTCCTCATTCACCCCAGTGTCCCTTGTTTATCCTCTCAATAAGAAATAAGGAAGGAGAGACGTCTGGATGGCTCAGTGGTTGAGCGTCTGCCTTTGGCTCAGGGCATATCCTGGGATCCTGGGATCGAGTCCTGCATGGGGCTCCCCACAGAGAGCCTGCTTCTCCCTCTGCCTATGTCTCTGCATCTCTCTCTCTCTCTCTGTCTCTCGTGAATAAATAAATAAAATCTTAAAAAAAATAAAAAAGAAGAAAGGAAGGAGGTGTGGCCAGTATGCTGCTGTCAAAACGTGCTCTTACTCTGGGCCACGTTCATTATGCTGGGGCGTGTGTGCTGCACTGGAGAAATCTGCACCAGAGCATAAACCTGGCATGTTCTCCTGGCACTTCAATTTTACTTGATTATAAGTTATAGAAAATAATAGTGATGTTAAGACAAACATAAATTTCATGGAGTACAATATAAAACTTGCAAGGATTTTTTTTTTAAACTTGCAAGGATTTTTAAGATAAAACAGATCCAGCAAAAAAAATGTCATGCTCTCTGCTTGTAGACCCTTCAGGGGCTCACGTTCATTCCATCAGCAGCCCTTCAGTGAGGAAGTCGGAGAAACACTGGTTTCAGGTGTTTAGTTGGAGCCCCTATGACAGAGCGACTTCGCAGAACAGGATGAAGATTTATTTTAATATTCAATCATCTGAAGTAATCTCCCTGAGGAGTGATGATGACATTTCTCTTTTCAAAACGCTTATACTATTTCCACCAACACTTCTTACTTCACCTCACTTTAAATGATCTCTCTTGGCAGATTTCAGAGGAAACACCATGCACAGCATTCTGAGGTCTGCCCGAGTCCTGACTGGCAGTCTCCAGGCTGAACAATGGCAATTATGTCTTCTGATTATTTCACCATAAATGTGCCAAATTACTAGAGCAGGAGGAAAGCACAAACTGATGGGGAAGAACAGCAACACTGCAGAACACGTTCCCGTGGCTGGTTCTAGAAACTAGAAGGAGGCGCTCCCACCTCCACAGGAAGCAGAGTGCCCTGTAACAGCAGTAAGGGCTGAGCCCTGGCGATATAAACCTTGCAACCCCAGCATGAGCAGCCGCTCCTCTGGAGTACTTCCTGTGAGCCCAGTGCTCTACACGCCTCACCAGGACCCTTCGACAAGTCTATGGGTCCTGTTCTATAGATCAGGAAGGTCAGGCCTGACTGCAGAGCTCACAGCCCGGCCACCAGGAAACACTGGTGGCTCTCCCGCATTCACTTCTGGACCCAGTCCCGCCAGCCTGACTCCATCATGTGGAAAAGGATCTCTCTTCTTACCTTCAGAGCCCACTCACAATCCACTATTGCCTTCTGGTAGTCCCCGACTTTTAGATAAGCCTGTAACGACACAAATGGCTATGTTCATACACACTTCTGAGGCAAGCAGTCTCCAGTTAACATAGAAAGAACAGTCCAACGAGAGACAGGTGATGAGAGGTAACCGGCCACCATCTGTGCCGGTCGGGGTGCCAGCTGGGGACGGATGGCACCTCGACATTGGCTGAGTTTAATGAAGGAACCACTGAGAAGGTAAGGGCAAGGCTCAGGGAAACCAGCAGGAATGCTACAGAACCCCGAGGCTGGCAGCAGTGGATTGAAGGGGCAGAATGAGCCATAGGCGAACAGGAGAGGACAGCTTTGTGAACAGTGCTGCTGAGGGGAGCTGAGGTCTTTAGAGGAGCTGCAGGTGGGAGAATAAATACCCCGACTCTCACTCCCTTCCTTCCTTCTGATCTCACTGGCTGAAGCCAAATGCAAGCTAGAAAGCTGATAAGTCAGGGGACTAGTCCACAGAGTCAGCCCCCCAGGCTACAGGAGGCAGGGCAGAGAAGGATTTGGAAAGGCAAAAGAAAATACGTAGCATGTGAAATACATCTACAAAGAAAGAGCTGGCTTCTAGAGTCTACCTCACTGTGGATGTTCCAGAAGGAAATCAAATGATAAAGGGCATTAAAAAGATAGCAGCAAGCATTGGTAAGAGTGTAGAAAAATCAGAACCCTCATACATAGCTGGTGGGAATATAAAGTAGAGCCACTTTGGTAGGACAGTCCGGCAGCTCTTTAAAGGGTTAAACACAGAGTTACCAAATGATCCTGCCACTCCTCGGTGTATACATATGTGCACATAAAAACTTGTGCACAGGTGTTCATAGCAGCATTATTCATAGGAGCCAAAAGTCAGAAACAGTTCAAATGTCTATCAACTGATGAACTGATAAATAAAATGTGGTCCATCCATACAATGGTGTATCATTTGGCAATAAAAAGGAAGGAAGCACTGATATATACTACAGCATGCATGAGTCTTGACAACATGTTACAAGAAAGAGGCCAGACACAAAAGGAAAAATACCACATGACATCATTGATATGAAATGTCCAGAACAGACATTCTTTCTATGGAGATATAAAGCCAATTTGTGGTTGCCTTGGGCTGAGGGTGGGTGGGGGTGGACGGGAGGACTGGGAGGGGTAGGGACTACTCCGAGGGCATGGGGTTTCTTTTTGGGATCCTGAAAATGTTCTAGAATTGCTTATGGTGATGGTTGCACAACTCCATGTGAAAAACACGGAGTTGTACACTTCAAATGGGTGAAATGCATGTTATGTCAATTATATCTCAATAAAGCTATTACTACAAAAAAAAAAAAAGACAAAGTTCTGCTCTTGCCTCATAAGCATAGCAAGAGAGGACCCTTGGCTGGCTCAGTGGTTTAGTACCTGCCTTCGGCCCAGGGCATGATCCTGGAGTCCTGGGATCGAGTCCCACATCAGACTCTCTGCATGGAGCCTGCTTCTCCCTCTGCCTGTGTCTCTGCCTCTCTCTCTCTCTCTCTGTGTGTGTGTGTGTGTGTATGTGTGTGTCTCTCATGAATAAATAAATAAAATTGTTAAAAATAAATAAATAAATAAATAAATAAATAAATAAATAAATAAATAAATAAATAAAAAATAAGCACAGCAAGAAGGCAGAGATGGAGAAAACGGGCTGACACTTAAAGGTCAGACCATCACTATGATCATCGGTGCCAAAAGCCCCAGGGGCCTCTTTTGGGATCCCCTAGAATTGGGGAAAATCTTTAAAATCAAGAATTGACTCAGAATCCTGGGATCCGCTCAATCTAAACTGAATTGAGTTCATTTATAGTCTCAAAGAACTAATGGCACATAAAGTAACGAAGGGCTGTGTGACAGCAAGCATAACAGCTCCTCTACCTCTGGATTAATTATTGGACACACAGGCAGTCAATCAGTTCTTATCAAGATGAACTAAATAGACTTTACGCACTCTTCTTTTGGAAAGTGCCCAGGAAGCAGCAATGATCACTCTGGTGTAAAAAAGGAAAACCAGGCACCTGGAGGATGAGAGGTTTTCCCAGAGCCCTCATGAGTCACCCCAACTAGAGCTGATACATGTGTAGGTTTGCCCCTGATCTAAACTGTCCTAGGGCACCGTGACATTCTCATCAAGAACTCTCATGAGATATTTATGTGGTCAAGCCAATTACGGGGGATCTAAGCATTCATCCTGCGTGAGGAGAGAGCAAGCACTAGCCATACAGCTTTTCACACGGATAGAAAGGGAGCTGCTGTATAGTGCTTTCATTAACTCAGGTTCTGTACTAATTGAAGATAACCACTCTTTGAACTGTCCATTCCATAAAGCACCATCCTTTCCCCTGGGGCTTGGGATTTCATTTGAAAATCAGAGGATGCGAGGAGGAGACTCAGCATCCTTTTAGACAAACAAACGAAGCCACAGTTCCGTGACATTGCTATTCAGGAGACATACAGACTCTGAAAATGCATACGTGGGCTCCAACAATTTCTCTACACAGCTTTTTACTTTTTCTTTCTTCTTGTATCTTTTCTTTTTTTTTTTTTTTTTTTTTTAAGGCTTGGATTCAAAACCCTATAAATTCCCTGTTCTCTTTGGCTTTTCCACATTTTAAAAAGAACTACTTTTCCAAATGGCAATTAAACTACTGATTTATCTAAATTACACCAGCAATCTATTGATCATAACATTAACTCCAGGAGAAAAACAGAGCGATGAAAGGGTAGGTTTTGGGGTTTTTTTTGTTTTGTTTTGTTTTTTTCTCTAGCAAGCAGCAACACTCAATTCACAGGCTCCTTATTAAGTGTTTTCTAACACTGCATACAAACAGGGGAGGCATTTTAAAAATAGTCAGTGGTGATTCGGTGGTTCATAACACCAGGCAGCACATTTTGCATTTATTTGTCTCTCAATAAGCTTTCTCTTCGGGGAAAGCTGAGAGGAATTACTTCCCCAAAGCTCTTCATTACATTTGCTTATTTTTATCCACACCCATTCTTAATGTGATTCTCCAGAATCTAATCAAAGCGCTGCTTAAACCTGAGTACAGTAAAAAATGTAACTAATTTAGACAGATCAGTGTGGAGACCATCTGAATTAGATATAAATCTGAATTACGTAACATTTTAAAAGCAGTTCAATTTTACTACTTTCAAAAAACTTCGAAGTAACAAGACTGGAAAAGCACCAGTAGGAAAATGCTTGGAGACCAAATCTGGGGAAAAGTAAAAACGAATTACAATTATCATATTAATTGATTGCATTTGAATGCTTCTTTCAAAGTGTCAACAGAAACTTAGTTCCCTTAAACAGACTGATTGTTCCTTCAGTTTAGGTAACTTAACAAGGATTTATTAAACATCTATTATAAATAGAGCATGGAGGGGGAAAGTATATGGAAAAGTTTATAATCTCGTTAGGGGGATGAAATGCCAATGACCACTAAGTAAACCTCTTGCCATTTTATTTACCAAATTGACTCCCCATATCAATTTTTCTCCAGAAATGGGGCTAAGCAAGTGGTAAATCGACTGTAGTCTGATTTACCCAAACTGCCAAACTATTACGGTTACACTGTGCTCAGATTCATTTATCATTAAATCACTATCACCCTCAGACTTCTTGGCCTCCAAATGCCCTGTTTCTTGCTTTCCACCTTCTTCTTCGACCTCCCACAGCAGGACGTTCCTGATCCCGAGTTACAGAAATTGGAGCTGATGAGGGCTCCTCCTGTCAACGACATGGTGTCAAGTGCACCTCAAATGGGTCCTGCTGACATCTCCTGACCATCGGATCATTATGCTCATGAATCTGCCGCTTTTTCAGGCCTAAGCCACAGAGAGCTCTACCACAGGCAGGCTCAAGTGCTTTTCAAAGATAAGGTCACATGTGATGTGAGGTTTTTGTTTCAACTGAGATCTATCAACCTTGTCCCTTCATTAAGTAGTATATGATAAACATCGGCATGATGGTTGCCACCCGGTGTCCCACGAAACTGAGCTCATCTGTGATATAAAATGGAAGTATTAGGGAGTTCAGAAACTCAAAATTTCTGAGAATTTGGGTCTAGGGCAGCCTGGGTGGCCCAGCAGTTTAGCGCTGCCTTCAGCCCAGGGCCTGATCCTGGAGACCCGGGATTGAGTCCCATGTTGGGCTCCCTGCATGAAGCCTGCTTCTCCCTCTGCCCATGTCTTTGCCTCTCTCTCTCTCTCTCTCTCTCTCTCTGTCTTTCATGAATAAATAAATAAAATCTTAAAAAAAAAAAAGAATTTGGGTCTAGGCCTATCAGCTACCCAGCCAACCCCGGTCATGGAATCTGAATCCAACAGGGACTGAGACAATGAGTCTGAGAGTAACCTTGAGGAGTTCAGGCTACCAGCAAGAGGGGGATGGCCACGCCAGGGATGGCAGGATCCGTCCTTATGGGTTGCTTCATTCCCTGGCTTTACCCTCAGTGACATGTGGGAGCTGGCATGTACCTCCCAGAGGACCGTTTCTATGTAGCTCTTCCCAAGTCCTCCTTCCGTCCATGCAAGTTGGCGGCTTGAACTTGGACGGTGGTGTCAGTGCTGGTTCCTGCGAATCAGCTTTCACCACACCCCAGCCAGAACCACCTGTTGAACACTGTTGGGCACAACACTGCTACCATCTAGTCTCATCTTTGGTTTCACAAGCTCCATGGCAACTGTCCCCTGAGAGAACAGCCACGGACACAGCGCTGGCTCACTGACCTGGGCTCGGTTGGTGTACAGCACTTTCATGTCCTTCACCTTGTTCAGACCCTCACTGTAGCACAGGACAGCTGCATCGTAGTCGCCTCTGGCAAAGGCTTTGTTCCCCTTTTCTTTGAGGGCTAGGAGAAAGAAGTCACACAGGTGAGCTCTCCCCACACACTGGGAAACTCTCTCATTCTTTATTCCCCTGACTTTGCCATTCTGCCTCAGAGGTCAGAGCTTCCATCAATCCAGAGGAGGCTTGTCACTTGTTTCTCTGCAAACATTTCAGGATTGGCCTCTTTAAGGACTCTTTTCTCCAAACCCATCCCAAGTAGCTTCTCAGAAAAAAAGTAAATGTTTCTGCCTCAAAACTCAGAACCTTCCCAAGCGTGCCACAAAGACCAAGTTTACACACTCAATGTCTCATAAAGAGGGCAAATGAGCCAGTTTCTGGCCCAGGTGGAAGTGTTCAAACCCACAGCACGCATACCGCCAGGAGGTGCCCAAGTGCCAGACGCATCCTGCATGTGTGTCACCCCACCAAACACATGACCCCCCCTTCTTTCACTTCTCTCCCTTCTCACATCTTTGTTTTCTTGTTTCATTTTTCATTTTCACCTCTTTTCTGTGCCTCAGGCCAGCCCACAGTACCTCCTGTCCATCCCTCCCTACTTTCCCAGGATTGCTCAGGACCCTCTACTCTCTGTCTGATCTGCTAAGTCCCTCAATATGCTTTATTTACTTATTTTTTCCCTTTGACTTGGATTTTATTTTTTTATTTAAAAAAATTTAATAGGGATCCCTGGGTGGCGCAGCGGTTTGGCGCCTGCCTTTGGCCCAGGGCGTGATCCTGGAGACCCGGGATCGAATCCCACATCAGGCTCCCGGTGCATGGAGCCTGCTTCTCCCTCTGCCTGTGTCTCTGCCTCTCTCTCTCTCTGTGTGACTATCATAAATAAATAAAAATTAAAAAAAAATAAAAAAAAATTAAAAAAAATTTAATAAAATTTTTTTACTTTAAAATTTTTTAAAAAATATTTTAAAAATATTTTTAAAATTCAATTTGCCAACATATAGGATAACACCCAGTGCTGATCCTATCTAGTACCCCTCACCCCCCAGATGCTTTAGAGAGAGGTCTGGCAGTGGTGGCTGATGGAGGGCTCTATCCTGCTCCCTGCCTGCTGCACAGGGACGGGGACAGACACCAATCACTCATCTCTTGCGTCTGGTTTCAAGGCCTTAAGCCCATGACGAAACCCCCCTCCTTCCCCACCAACCAGGAGTCTCGCCATCCTCAAATATCAGCAGGCAGACTCATGATCTTTCTTGCACAAATCATCCCGGCTCTTGAAAAGTGAAGACTGACAATTACCATCTGCTAAGACTCTGTTTTCCCTTCTTCTCCTGGCACGTTCTTTTGCATCCAACTCCATAGATGCCAAGAAGGCTTCTGACAGCAGAGTAATTTCAAGTATTAAAGAGAAAAATCCAAATATTATAATCAGTTCTTTAGCTCAAATTCAGAAGAAAGCTTCTTTAGAGCTTTAGAGTCGCACATCTCATGCATACATATGGGAGCACACACACACATATGCATGCACACACAGACACACACATGCACACAGATTCTGAGGCAAATAAATGACAATTTTCTTAATTTGACATTAAATGGTAATCTGTGTGATGTATTATTATGCACGATGGCTATGTCTATGCTTCACATTTGAATTATTGCCTTTTAAAGTTTTTCTTTAAAGGCAGACTTTTTTGTTCCCTTTAGCATAATGAGCTTCTGAGCTGGGCAACAGACAAGCTACCCGGATCCCTTGAGCAGCTAAGAGTAAATTGGATGATAAAAAAAAGCTGAATTCAGCTTACAAAAGCCTGGCCAGGAGAAAATAGAGAAAAGCCTCTGAGTGCTATCCCCTCTGACTAGTAAGAGAATTGGCTGATCAGTTGGTTTTTGTTCATGGGTTCTTTGTAAGCCCAGAGGCTATCATTTAAGGGTCTGGGAGCTACAATCAATAAACACTGATCCTAAAAAAATAACACACATTAGGAAGAGAGATGCTGTCCTTACCTGAGTTTATCTCATCTGCATTCTGCAGGGCACAGGTTATCATGAAAACAAAAAAACCAGATTTCAAAAACCATTCTCTGACTTATACATAGACGAACCAAGAAGGCAGATCCCTTACAAGGGGGAAGTAGGGTCATTTCCTCTAAACATCAATACTGAAGGGCCCCAATTTCATAGGGCTTGCTTTCAACCAGGAGATCTGATTAAGGGCACAGCTGTAATGGAGTGAGCAGGTCAAGAGACCCCAACTGTGGCTGTAGGAGTTGGAAATATGAGGCAGAACATATTACCTTTACAGTACAGCTTAAATATTGCTCATGAGCTCGGGGGGGGGGGGGGAGGGAGGAGAGGCCAAATTTTCATTAAAATAAACCCATTGTTTAAAGATGACTCAGAAAGACAAAGAAAAAAAAATCAGAGTTTCTACTTCATTATGGAAAATAAATCTAGTGAGTCTAAAAAACGCAAGACTGAGATCCCTGGGTGGCTCAGTGGTTGAGTGGCTGCGTTTGTCTCAGGGTGTGATCCTAGGATCCCGGATCAAGTCCCACATCAGGGTGCCTGCTCCTCCCTCTGCTTGTGTCTCTGCTTCTCTCTCTGTGTCTCTCATGAATAAATAAAATCTTTTAAAAAATTAAAAATGCGAGACTATTTCAGCCTCTCCAGATAGTTTGAGGTTAAACTAGCATTTCCTCTGCTTCAACGTAGACCTTTTCTCTGCATCTGCTTATATAAGCCCATAATAGAGAAAGAAACCTCCATGGGAGCTTGTGAACGGTTGATCATTGTCTTGTTCAGGGTGGTCCGGCACCCATCCTCCTCCGGGACTTCCTCTGTATACAGTAGCCTCTGTTCTGTCTCCAGGATAGCTTTCTGCTGTATGCGTGGGTCATCAGAATTCATCTCCTGGATTAAACTGGCTGGAGGTGTAGAAATCAGAAGTGAAACATCCAAACAAGGTCTTCAAAAGGAAACAACTCAGGAATGGTGCAGAACATTCACAGGCAAGAACTTTTGTTTCTCTGGCTTTGTTGCCATATGACTGACATGCAACATTGTGCAAGGAGAAGGTACACAAGTGAGATGATCTGATTCACGGGCCTATGGTGAAGTGATCCCACAATAAGGTTAGTTAGCACATCCATCTCCTCATGTAATTTCAATTTTTGCATGTGTGGTGAGCACGTTTAAGGTCTATTCTCTTATCAACTTTCAAGCATGAAATCCATTTTTTTTTTTAAGATTTATTTATTTATTTTGGAGTGAGTGAGGGAGCCTGGGGGCGGGCAGAGGAGAAAGTGGAGAGAAAATCTTAAGGGAACTGCGCACTGAGTGTGGAACCTGATGCAGGACTTAAAAGCTCTCCTTCCCAGTCTTCACTTTATGGCCTGCTCAGCTCAAATCCCATGATCCATCACTCGGCCGGCCACCTGTCCACATACTGAACTCCCTCACCCTCCCAACCTAACTGCCAGACAAAACAACTCCAAATCCAACTTCCCACTTTTCTAGGCCTTTGTTATGCATGTGGAGTACAGATAAAGACAGATGGACACCAGTGAGAGCTGGTCCTAACATAACTGGCTCTGCAATGTTGTCCAGCAAGCCTACTGCTAGCCTAGGATGGTTCTGACACCAGTACCCATGTGTGATTTTCCCCCACATCACCATGCAATTCTGACCCCAGCTCGGTGTCTTATAATTCAATTCAATTCTGATACCATCTACCTGACATAGTGTCACATCCCACGGGTCAAGGGCTTAGTGCCATGAGACCACCTACTCTCCACTTCCCACTTCACATGCCAGTTGCAAGTCCGGGTTGTCACCTATGCTTCTGCCCTAATGGCTAGCTCAGAGGGTGGGTCCCACCACCTTCTCCCCCTCTGGTTTGATTAATTTGCTAGAGGAGCTCACAGAACTCAGAGAAACATTTTACTTACTAGATCATCAGTTTTTTTAAAAGGATACAACTCAGGAACAGCCAAATGGAAGGGGTGGATAGGGCTTGGGATGGTACATGAGAAGGGGGTGCAGAGCTTCCAGGCTCTCTGAGTGCATCCCACCCCCAAAATCTCCATTCGCCAACCTGGAAGCTCTCTGATCTTGGTCCTTTGGGGGCTTTATGGAAGCATCACTATATAGGACTGATAAAAATATTATTGACCATTGACAGTCAGTTCAACTTTGGGTCTCTCTCCCCTTCCCAGGGGGTTGGAACTTTATCACAGGGTTGGTTCCCCTGGCAACCAGCACCCATCCTCACTCATTCCAAAAGTCACTCATTTGCATGAGCTCAGAAGTGATTGAAAGGGGTTTGTCATGAATATAAAGATGACTTTATCTGTCTTATCACTTAGAAGTTCCAAGGGTTTTAGGAGTTCTTTGCCAGGCACAGGGACAAAGATAAAAATATGTATTTTTTATTATAAGTCACAGTATCACACCCAAGCAAGTCATCTTATCCTTCTCCCACGGATTTTAAAAAACTGCCTCCAACCAAGGGAGCCCTTGTGCACTGTCAGTGGGAATGCAAACTGGTGCAAAAAATTAGAACAAGAATGACTCTGTGATCCAGTAATTCTACTACTGGCTCTTCACCCAAAGAACACAAAAACTCCAATTTGAAAAGATATATGCTGCCTTGTGTTTATTACAGCAATATTTACAATAGCCAGGTATATGGAATATCACTGAGCCATAAAAAAAGAAGGAGGTTTTGCCGTCTGCAACAACATGGATGGAGCTAGAGAGAGAGTATGATGCTGAGAGAAACCAGATAAAGACAAATACCATATGATGTCATTCATGTGGAACTTAAGAAACAAAATGAACAAAGAAAATAAGAGACAAAAAAAATCAGACTTTTAAGGACACAGGATAAACCTGTGGTCACCCTCCTACCTCTCTGGCCATTGCTTTTGGTCTCCTTTGCCTGCTCCTGCTCCCCTGTCCCACCCACCTTCTAAACTGGGTGAGCCTTAAGGCACTGCCTAAGCCATCTTCTCTCTTCAAGGACCAGTTCCCTAGGTATTCCCATTCTCTGCCATGGCTCTAAATACCATGTATAAGCAAGGGCCTCCTCAATGGACATCCTCAGCTCTATTCTCTCCTGGGCTCAGACTTGCAAAGCCAAGTGCCCTCCGAACATCTTCGCTGTGCTGTCTAACTCATCAATCCTGACCTGCCTGTCCTCCTTCCCCTCTGAGTGCACCCCTCTCCCCAAATCTCCATTCACCAGAATGTTCTTCCCCCAAATGTCCTGCATCTCAGCAGATGGCCACACCATCCACCTGGCATTCGACTCAAAACTTTTAAGACTCATTCTTGAGTCTTTGTTCTCTCTCTGCCCTTGTAGCCATCAAACTCGAAAGCTTGTCAAGTAAATCCTGATTACATCTCAAGTCCATCTACTTGTGCCCATTCCTTCTGCTACAACTCTAAACCCAGCCGGTCTCTTTTCCCTGGAGCGTCCTAACAGCCTCCTGCCTGGGCTTCCAGCATCTGTCTTCCTTCCCTTCCATGTGCTTATCTCTACGTCCATCCTTGCCGTGGCCAGAATGACTTTTCTAAGATGTAAATCTGATCATGTCCCCGCACTGAGTCAACCCTCCAATTGCTCGCAGGGTAAATATGAATTCCCCATTGTGGCTTCCAAAGTCTTCCTTGATCTGGCCTTTCTTGACTCAGATGGGACCTTCTCTCTGCTATCTCTTCTCGCCAGTCTTACAGAGCTTTATATGCCTCCAGGTTCTTAAAGGCGCTGTGTTCTTGAACTCCCAGTTTTCGTACCTACTTTCTCCCTACTTAGAATATTCCCTTGCTCTCTTCCCAGTGCCCCACTGACTCCTACTCACACTTCAGATTTTTACTTAAATCTCATGCTTTAGGAAAGCCTTATAAAACTCCTGTAATAGACTGTAGTGTGGCCCCCACCCCACTCATACACTCATACCTTAGCCCCCCAGTGTGACTACTGATAGAGAGCCTTTAAAGGAGTAATTAAGGTTAAATTAGGTCATAAGGATGGGGCCCTAAACAAACTGGACTGGTGTCCTTACAAGAACAGGAAGAGGCACTGGGTTGTGTACAACAGAGAAAAGGCCATGTAAGGACTCAGTGAGAAGGCAGTCATCTCCCAGCCAAGAAGAGAGGCCGCGGGAGAAATCAAACCTGCTGACGCTTCCATCTTGCACTTCCAGAACCACAGAAAGGAAGTTCCTACTGTGTAAGCCACCCAGCCGGTGGTCTTTTGTTACAGCAGCCCAACCAGACTACTACAACTTGTAAACTGAGTTAGTGTCTCTTGTACTTTGCAAATCTCTCTTTGTATCACACATCACACTAGAGATCATCTGTTTCATATCTGTTCTCTCTACTGGGCTCTAGATACCAGGAAGAAAGGGAGTTCTTGGTTATTGTTCCTGCAGTCTCCAGAGCCTAGCAATACTTAACTACATAGCAAGAGCCTAGGAAATGAATGTACAGAACCTGTACACGTGGCTACACAAATTTAAACTAATTGTAAATGAAAGAAAATTAGAAATTCAGCTCCTGGGTAGCACTAGCCACCTTTCAAAGGTTCACAGCTGCATGGAGTTATGGGTTGCCAGAGTGGACCGTGTAGGTTACAGGACGTTTCCATTACCACAGAGAGTCCTATCGGCCGTTGCTGGGATAGATGGTACCTAAAGAACTCTGAGAGTGAATGAAAGTGAGCCAGGTAAAGAAAGAAGGGGAAGCAGAGGAAACAACAGAGGCAACACGCAGTGTGTAAACCATCAGAGGATGTGTGGGGAACCAGAAGCAGTTTGCTGCTGCTCAAGTGAGAGAGAGGAGGAGGCAAGAGGGAAGGACAAGGTCATGGGAGGACTTAAGTCCCCGATGAGAGCTTGAAGTTTATTGTGGCTGCGGAGAGAATCCAAGCAGAGAAGTGTCTGGGTCAGATTTGCATTTGAGATACATTACTCTGTGGGGAGCTCAAGCCTGGAGGCAGGAACAACAATCAGGGGGCTGTTGAAACAGTCTGGGTCAGAGAACCGGAACAAAGGGAAGGGCAGGGAGGACAGAGCTGGAGAAGCTGAACTGGATGGCGGATTGAACGTGAGGGTGAGGGGTGGCATGAGTCCAAGGTGACTTGTAAACTTCTGGACTTGCCACCAACTGAGACTAGAATGAAGAGGAAGGTAGGAGAAGTAGGTTTTATTTGGGAGGAAGAGGGCAAAGGGGCAGAGCAATGATCACTGGATTTTGGACGCATTAAGTTTGTGGTGTTGGTGGGGTGCTATGGATAGGACAGCTGGTGCAGAGTCTGAGGCTCAAGAGAGATGTGGGGGTGGTGAGTAGACAGGCTGCAGGAAAATCCATGTCCCTGGACTAGACCACCCGAAGACAAATGTGAGCAGCAAGCTGGCCAAGGCCAGAACTCTGCAGAACAACATTTAGGGAGGGGCAGAGGAGAGCCCGTGGATGATCATAAAGGATGCATTATGGATGTGTCTGCTATTTTTAAAACCATTTTAGTCCTCTGGGCTTAAACAGCCTGCCGGAAGGAGCAATTTCAACATATTTCCATTGGATATGTAAGGTTTGTTTGATTGTTGGTTTGCCTGTTTCCATCATCAAACGAGCTCCCTCAAGTCTGAGTAGAAACCAGCTGCTTGGGAATCTCTTGAATGTGATTTGTGGGATCACAGAAGGTCCTTTGAGATCCCACCTGTCTGAGCTGGGGAAGGAGGGGACTTCTTCCCTAGAGACTGGGGTATGACAGCCATGAGCCATCCATGTAATGAGATGGACCCTGAGGGAAAGCCAATTGATTTTGCCCCTGCAGCTCAAAATCAGAAATGGCTCTGCCCTAAAACAAGAGGGATTCCAGAATGATCTACAAGGTTCCTGAGTGATCTCGGAGGGAACAGCTAGGCTCCTTTGATGTGGATTCCACACGGAAGGGGACAAAATATGGAGGAGGGCTGTCAGTCTCAATTCCAACCAGAATGTTAATGGCTTCTCTAATACCAATTAACAGCCACAAAATACTACCCCAGGCTCTAATATTACTTGCTTCTCAATACCCCTTCTGTTTAATTTCAATTACATTTTCCCTTAGAGTCATAAACCTATCAGGCAGCCTGGGAACTAACTCAGAGTGATCATTTCTCTTCAGTCACTCCACCTCGCCAATGTAGAATTTAATTTGTTTATGATTTACTGGTACTTACTGATTTCATCCACATTTTTAAGAAATTTCTGCAAATCTTCCTCATCAGCCATTGTGAACCAGAACACCTGGGGGAGGCGGCATAAGTGATGAAATTAATACTAATAAAACACTAAACAGAATTTATCAGGCTTATTAGGCTTCTAAAACCAAGAGCCAAGTGATTATTTTTAAGATGGATTTGTGTTCATAAATGTCATGAATAACAGCAGGGTGATCTATTTCACTCTGATTGCTATTAAGGCCAAGGGATACTCATTATTTGTGGTGATGCTTCTGGAAAGCTGTCAACCCTCTCTTCCACTGGGAAAATTGCTCTGCAAAATGTTTCTCCAAAGCCAACATTCTGGGGGGCTTGGGGGGCTCAGTTGGTGAAGCGTCTGCCTTTGGCTCAGGTCATGATCCCAGGGTCCTGGCATCGAGTCTCACATCGGACTCCCTGCTCTGCCAGGAGCCTGCTTCTCCTTCTCCTTCTGCTGTTCCCCCTGCTTGTGCTCTCTGGCGCTGTCTCTCTCTCTCTCTCTTAAACAAATAAATACAATCTTAAAAAAAAAAAGAAAAGAAAAGAAAAAGAAAAAGCCAACATCAACTGCTGTGATTCTGGGACCTGGTGTAAAGGAGGGCAGGAGGCCAGAGGCTGACAGGCTAGCAGGAATAGAGGACACTAATGCTTGACTTTGGTCATGAAAGGCCCACCCAGCCGGAAGCCTGGACCTGGCTGTGCGACTAGTAATCAGGAACTGGAGTATTTGCATTTCACTGTCCAAACTTGTTTAAAATATAAGCCTGTGGCTTGTTTCTGATGAGCGAAGAGAAGCTAAAAATTGGCCGAGGGGATCAGAACCCGATGCCGCCGTGCACCAGCATCTCTTCTCCTTCTGGGTACTTTAGATGTATTACTTCTCTGTGGTTTGTGAGTAAACAGGCTTCGTAGTATACCCAGTAGTTCCCGAAGTTCATCCACAGACCATAAAAACCATGCAAAAACTTGTTAAATACACAAGACTCCTCCTAGCACCAAAGCTTCACAGTCAACTTGCCAGGGTACCCAGGTATGGCTAATTTCAAACTCTCTTGGGCTGATTCTGATCTACGGCTAGGTTTAGGATTTATGGCTTAGGTTTAGTGGTAGTGCCGTTGTGTAAGCCCCGCTACCTGGAAATCTGAACTCTGCCGCGAGCAAGGTGGGAGTTATGCGACCCCGAGACTCCATCAGTTACAAGCTGTGTGACCTCAGCTCAAGCCACCAACCTCTCTCAGCCTAACTCAGTCTATGGAAACGGTAATAGGAACCGAGAGGGGGTTAACTGAAAGCACCAGGCGTGCAACGAGCGGTAAATGCGAGGCTCCCTTATCTGCAAAACGGGGGTGGGGACGTGTGGCTTCACTAAGCGAGCTAGGGTTCCTTCCAGCTCTAACATACAGCACTGAGGCCTAGTGAAGCGAGCTGACCTGCCCCAGGTGGTCGGGGCAGAAGGAAGATGCAGCACTTGCCGGGGGGTAAGAATACGCAGCCCGCGCCCAGCCCTCCGCCGCCCAGGAGATGCGCCCGGGGGAGCGCGGGCCAGCCGCGAGCGAGCGGGAACCCGGCCGCCAGCTCCCCTCGACGCCCCGCCCCTCCCCGCCCCGCCCCGCGCAAGGGGCGGGGCCGCCGGCACCGTTGCCTGGCAACCGCTCGGCAGCGTCCCCCGGCCCCCATGCCGGAAGCGGAGGACGCCGCCACGGCCGACACGGGCCCTTCTGCCGCCGGGTCCCACACGGCATCTTCTGCTCGGCGCTGACGGTCAGATCCGCACCACATCCCAGGGCAGACCCCGGGCCACCCCGCCACACTGACCTGACACGCCCCGGGCCGGACAGGAAATGGCGGCAGTGGGCGGGCGCGGACGGGGCGGGGGCGTGGCCAGGGGCGGGGGCGTGGCCAGGGCGGGAGTGGGCGGGTCCGGCGCTCGGGTTCCGCAGCGAGCGCGCTGCTAGGTGTAGGCGGAGCTGGTAGCGGGGCCTCCCCGGGAAGCACAAGCAGGTCCCAGAGTCTGCGCCAGGGTTTCTCCTCTTTTTCCTCTGAGGACGGGGTATCACTCGCATCAGCTTACTATCCCTGGCCCAAAGACGGGGACAACCTGCGGTGGGCTTGGGAGAGACAGGCTTGGCTGTGAATCCGGTTTTGCTTACTGGTAAACGTGAGACCTCCGTGGCGCCTCTCCTCCCCGAATGCATACCCGGTTTTAAAGAGATTCCAGTCTGTTTTTTAAAACAAAAGTTCAGTGTTAGTGTGCTGGGTTAAAAAGGGGAAGAAAGCAAGCTTTGGGAAAGGTTCCATCTTGAGCTTAAACTAATGTTCAGAAACACGTGGGACTTCTTGGCAAATCTGTGGGTCTGTTTCAGAAACCTGTTGGGTAGGGGATGAAGAGCCCCTGGGGTTGAAACTTACCAGGAGGGCAGAGGGCTACAGACATGGCCAACCAGATCCAACATGGGTTGAGTAGAGTCTGTGGACTCTGTGCTATGGGCTAGAACCGGCAGGATGCATGTCTCAGCCTCCTGGAGAACAGGGGGCTGCTTGATGGAAATCTCCAGAAGGCGTTGGTGTGTGTCACTACTGCTTGGGAACACCCCTGGTGGAGTGGAGCACACAGGGGCCAGGGCGTTCACTTGGCAGCAGAGCAGGTGCAGCTTCGGTGGAGTCCTTCTTATATAGTCAGCGGCAGGAGGCAGTGGGACCTGGGGCCCAGCAGTAGAGTCACAGCAGCTGCTCCCAGGGACTGACATACCCCCTGAGAAGTAAGCAGAGTGGAGGTGTCTGGCAGTGCAGGGTTGCTTGTGCCAGCCACACCCCGGACATTCTCAGAAAGACACAGCTTCCTTTCCAGTGACCATGGAGCCTGTGGGCACTGATGAAAACAAAAACCAGGGACAGGTTATTGCTGTTAGTATCACCCTCTTTTCACCTCAGGCTGGGAGTTCTTGAGGACTCACAGGCAGAGTCTCCAACCTCAGGCTCCTTTTGTCATGTTGGGGGTGACAGTCTTCATTCCACATCGCTTACTTCCTGTTCCACTACTCTTCACCAAACTCCTGTCCTGGACTCCAGAGGGGTCTGCCCACAGCCATTCATTCGCGCATCTGTGTGTCGATTGTGGGTGGTCTACAGTGTGCCAGGTGCTGGAATGTCCCCCAGGTGAACTTGACAAATATTTATCACACGCGGAGTGATCAGGGGCTCTAGAACTAGTCAGCCTGTGTTCAAACCTCAGCTCTCCACTTCGTAGCACTTGTTAAAATACTGTTAAGCACCTTGCAAACACCTTCTCTGAGCTAGGTGCTGCAGATCTTTTTTCTCTTTCCTACATCTACTAGTCCTAGCTGTATGGCCTTGTCAAGGTATTTAATCTCTCCCTGTCTTGGTTTCCTCATCTGAGAAATGAGGATGTTAAAACAGTATCTGTCTTATAGGACTGCTGTGAGAGGTACATGACTTAATACAGGAGGAGTGTCTAGACAATGCATGGAGCATCAGTAAATGTAAGTAACTGTTATTACTACTGCTGTGATTAGTATGCATTAGACCAGTGCTTCAGAATCTGAACTGTGCATAAGAATCACCTGGGGATCTTAGTTGCAGGTTTGGATTCAGTGGGACTGGGGCCCGAGATTCTTCAGTGATGCCTCTCTGTGGACTGTTGGCCACACAATGAGTAGTGCATAAATAATCTTTTCTTTATGTTAGAAGTTATTTTTATAGTTAGAAGTTATTTTTTTTCTCCTTGAAGTCTTATTTCCATCTGACACCTCTCCACTCCCATACTCAGAATACCTACCCTAATACAGGATATTTTTGTGCTTGAATGTCTTTTACTGATCACCTCATCCTAGTTCTCTGCTGCAAAAATATCAACAAGCATTGCTGGAGTATTTGCTTTATCCAGATGCCATGCCATATGTCAGGGACACAGACCCTGTCCTCAACGAATTCACAGTCCAGTGAGGAAGGTAGATGCATAAACAGATTATTACAGAGCAGTGTTCTAGTGCTTACAGAAGAAGGAAGGAGGAATAAAGGGAAATAAAAGCAGGACCCATAGGAATAGGAATTTACATGGGTCACGTGGAAGCCACGCATGTGTATGTGTGGTGCTCTGGGCGGAGCAAACAGAATGAGGAGACATTCAGAGGCAGGGAGCCTTGTGCCATGAGTGAGAAAACAGAAGAGTTTCAGGCGAGAGTGGTGAGAGATGAGCCAGGCAAATGGGGAGGGCACAGGGTCTCAAGGAGGAAAGCTCTAGGATGAGTGGGAAGCAAGGAGGAACCCAGGCAAAAGCCAGGCAAAATCCCTGGGCAGGAGGAATGTCAAGGAGAGGGCAAGTATGGTATAATGATACTCAGCAGCCATGTACACTTGTGACATCTTGAGAAGTCTCTTCCATCTTGATGGAGCCTACATGGATCTCTATGGAGCCAAGACCTTGCTCTAAGCCCCAGCCCTCTGATCCAACAGGGTAACTAGACTGGATCTCTTGGGAGTAGGACTTTTGTTTTAGTTTGTCTTAGTAATTCCCAGCACCTGGCACTTAGTTGGAGCTAAATTTAGATTTGCCGAATAAATGAGTTAATTTCTTGCTCTGCGTGGAGGAAGATTGCAAGAAGGCTCCAACTGAAGTTATTCTAGATGGAAAGGGAATAAGGGTGTTTACAGTTTCTGCGTCAACCTTCCCAGAGAGGTCCATCTTGGAAGACAAACATTGGTACAGTCGCAAAATATGTTTTAGGGTAAATTTACTTGATAGATGGATTGCTTTAAAATGTCAGAGATCGGGGATCCCTGGATGGCTCAGTGGTTTGGCACCTGCCTTTGGCCCAGGGCGCGATCCTGGAGTCCCGGGATCGAGTCCCACATCGGGCTCCCGGCATGGAGCCTGCTTCTCCCTCCTCCTGTGTTTCTGCCTCTCTCTCTCTCTCTCTGTCTATCATAAAAATAAATAAATCTTTTTAAAAAATGTCAGAGATCTTAGTAGGCCCTGGGTGGTCACTGGGCTGTGGGCAAAGATTCCAGTATTTCTCTTCCCAGGCTCATGGTAAGATGGCACTTCTCTCTGACTAGGTGATTTGCTTCAGTGGACATGGAGCATGAGTGAGCAATAGACCTTTTTTGTTTTCACCTACAAAAATTTGGGGTGTGTTTGTTAGGCAGCATGACACAGCCTTTTGCGTCTAATACAACCACTCAGACTTATTGTAGTTCACTGGCTACAGTGACCAAATCTAGGGACCATGTGCACAAGTATGCACATATTATGATCATTGCTTAGGTTTTAAGTGCCAGTGTCTGCATTTTCATATACATTCAAAAACAGAGAGGAAAAAAAAAACGTTTAAACCATGTATGTATGACTCGCATTTCAAATTTATTCCTCCTAGAGAAACTTTATGAATCATACTTTCCCAACTGCTATTTCCATCCACCCTAAGTCCCTCTTGTGTGACAAGTTTTACTTTTTCTTTATGTCCTCACAAAAGTTGGAGAGCATTTGGCCACCTTCCACTGTATAGTATACTGGAGACTTGGAGATTGTTGTAAGCTGTCTCTTTTCTCTGCATTCCCTTTTGTGCTCTTTGCTTTTTCTCATCAATCATACTTTATAAGCTTAGGAGAGATGAGAAAAAAAAATTGTCACCCTGAGGACAGCCTCATGTGGAGTAAAGGGATCCTGCATTTGCCTCCTGGAAGTAAAGGGTACAGACCAACGTGGAGCCAGAAGCCACACTCTGGAGGTGTTCTGTTGGACAAAACAGAACATGTAGATGCCAGGATCACTATTCTTTTGGAGCTTTGGCCTCAGGACTTAGCAGGGGAGGAAGCTGATGGAATTCAGCACTGTTTCTTCCCTCCCTGAACAGAATTCAGAAATCACATTTAGGGGCACCTGGGTGGCTCAGTGGCTGAGAGTCTGCCTTCTGCCCAGGGTGTGATCCTAGGGTCCTGGATCGAGTCCCGCATTGGGCTCCCCACAGGGAGCCTACTTCTCCCTCTGCCTATGTCTTTGCCTCTCTCTCTGTGTCTCATGGATAAATAAATGAAATCTTAAAAAAAAAAAAAAAAAGAAATCACATTTGTTATTTCCCCCAAACATATGTCCTTTCATTACAGAGAAAAAGAGGAGCTAATGTTTCTGCTTCTTGATCTTAATCCTTTTTTCTTTCAGTTCCTACCTGATTACAGATGAAGAAATGATTTCAAGATCTAGTCATGGATTTCATCTGTGTGTCCACAGAGGGCAGGAGAGTCTTCCTTGAGATGCCCATGTGTCATTAACAACACCACAGTTATTAACAACAACAGCGACAACAAGAGCGTGACAGTAACACGCTGAGTGGCTGCGTGCCAGGCATTGTGTTCAATCCTTTACTTGCATTAGGGATCTTCAATCTCTCAACAGCTTTGTGGGGTCTTATTCCTCCTCCACAGATAAGGAAATGCAGTCAGGGAGGTTATGGAACTTGTCAGAGTGGAAGACAAGATGTGAACCCTGGCCGAGAGTCTCCCCAGCTCGTCCTCCCCATGCCCCCAAATATCACCTGCCCCCAAGAGCTCTGTCTTCACCTCCTGAAGTCAGTGGTGCTCCTAGGAGTCTCCGGCCCTGGGTCTGCCTCCCCGATGTTCACACCTCCCTACAGGGTGCTCTGTCTGCTTCACAGGCTGATCCAACCCTCCAAAGGGGAGGGGTGCATCTCTTTTGCAGCCTTGAGGGCCATGTCTCCTACTCCTTTAAAAACAGAGTGACTCCAGCAACGTCCTCCTTTGCAGCTTTTCTGTGGTTCTCTGCACTCCTCTGCCTGGAAGAGGATGGG